GGGTTTGTTTTTGTTTTAGGCTCAAAATAACTAGTTTATTGTTGTCAGAAGGAATTTTTATATATAAGCTGACGTTCTCATTAGCGGAGTTGATGAGAAAATTAAGAAACTTGAGTCCTTCAGTGCAGTATTTTTGGTTTCTGACACGGGTGAATCTTTATAGGCTTTTTATACAAGAGAAAAACAACAAGGAGAAAAAAAATACTATCAATGATTATTTTGGAAGTTCTCGTTTTGTTATTATGCAGTTCTCTGAAGCGTATAATGATGCTCTTGCGACATTATACACAGTTGGTTTGTCATTTTCTGAACGTGATGCACTACAAATGTTGATCTCTGATTAAAATGTGAGTCGTGTTTATTTGAAATGCACTGAAACCCCAAGAATCTACAGTACTGCCTCTCATTGACATGCTCTGATCATATAGGGCACCTGCAGAATCAGCCCTAAATTCATGTAGGAGAATCTACATTAGTTCATCCCCTCAAAAAAAAAATATTAATCAAAATTTGTGGTCAATTTAAACAACCTCAGGGCATTTAAGATGTAGGTGAATCTTTGGTTTTGATTTCAGAAGAGCGTTAAAGAAAATTTGTAGCTGCAAAAAAAATCTATATTATCACCACAGACTGATTCATTTGTCAACTATTGTCAGAAGCCACAGTTGTTAAATGGATATTTTACCCAGAAATGATAATTATTTACCATTTACTCACTCTTAAGCAGTTATAAACATGTTTATTCTGTTAAAGAAGCATGCTGGAAACCTATAACCATTTTATAATATAGAACTCAATGGTTACTTTCTTCAAAATATCTTCTTTTGTGAACAACAAAATCAGGTTTGTGACTACTGAAGAGTGAGTAAATGATCACAGAATCTTCAGTTTTGAGTGAACTATCCCTTATTCTGTGTTTTGATCCACTTTTTAATGTTTACTTGCATTTTTTGAATCCTCGAGCAACATTGTTTGAGGAAAAAAATCTTATTTAATTCCTACAACAACAAATAAAACGTGACCTACATCTTGAATGACCTGAGAATGAATAAACTAACAGCAAATTTTCTTCTTTTGTCATCGTCGTCGTTGTTGTTGTTAATCGGTCCCTTTAAGTGTTCTGAATCTTTCAAAAATCCTTGATGAATATCCTAAAGCACTGTTCGAGCAAATGTGGTTTTGACATTTGAAATTCTAGCCAAAAGGAGTAAATAAAAAAAAAGATTTCGTTAACATAGGACAACTCTTTGAGCATCCTTGATATCTGCTTGTGTGTTGAAAATCATATTTCTCAGTCAAAAGTACCAGAAGGCGAACGTTTGTGCCTATATTGCCATGCAAGCAGCTAGACGTGCGTTGAAAAGTCTTAATTCTTCTGTGTTTAAAGTACATATTTAACATTTCTGAGATCTTATTGCAATTTTGCCAAAGCAGCCCTAAAGTTTTCTTTTTATATATCTATATATATATGGAGATTTGGCATGTTTGTATTGAGAAAATAATACATGAAAGGATTTTATTTTGATATTTTCAAGAGATTTTTGACGAAGGGCTTTCTTTCGAGCTTTTCGTGCTTGTCCAGGTGTTTTTAAGCACATTTCCGGTTCGTAACATGCGATTTGAGTGTATAACCGATTTCCACAAGCGCAGTGTGTTGCAGGTTTCTAAACGTGCATTCGTTCGGTTTGGTAAATCGTTACTAATCTGTAAATAGATTCTAAAGGGAGTGAACTACTCGAGGTTGGAGTCTGTCGACTGTATTCGTTACACTTTTTTTATTTTATAGATTTATGAAGCTGTACTGTATGAGCGAGGTTTGGTATCTGCCTCTGAGTTTACGTTTACTGTATTTCATATGCAAATGTTGATTAATCTGTACTGAGAGGTCAAATTAATCTGGTTACATTTGCATTTTTGGGGTGCAGATTTGATCGTTTATGTCAAGATATTAGCAATAAACGGAAAAAAACTCATTTTGTTGGGTTTCTTTTGATGGGATTGGATGTACACACACACACACACACACACACACACACAAGATTCAGATGCTGTATTATTTTGATAAAATGAACTTCTTTTCCTAACATCATTTGATCTTACTAGGGCTGGGCAATTTGGCCTAAAATCAAAATCTCGATTAATTGAACATTTTTAACTCTCGATAAATAAACGATTATTTTATGTTTTTGTATAAGATTTACTAAGTTTTGTATAGTAAATCTCACATATTACAAGTGAGAAGTGTAGGGTGCATTGTTTGATTTTAAATTAATTGAAGTAAACACTATTTACTATCTATGATTAGTTATTGAACATTAACGCTGAACAACTAATAAAACACATTAAAACAGAAAAAATAAATAAATAAAACAGACATTGACTAAAACGTGACTGCTCCGCCCACTCTCATCACCACTACCAAACTGACCAATCACAAAGCTTTGTGACGTGTAGGTAAATTTTTTTGAGAGGTGCGCGTGTGTGTGCGAAGGCTGCGCCGGGCCGAATGCGTTCGCATGGCATAAGTATATTAGAATAATATAATAAATATAAATCATCATATTATAATAGTATAAATTAGCCTTAACAGAGCAGGGTCACGTCACTCCACAAATGGTAGGGAAAGTAATTTAAAAAAATTGACCTGGAGAAATTAGATCGATTGTAGGATCTCAATGTCGATTTCAATTACTTTTCGATTAACTGCCCAGCTCTAGTTTTTACTGAAATTTTCACATGAATTTGATTTGACTTTTTTAAAGCAATACCAACCCTGATTGTGATTAATATTATTAATCTGCATTAGTTAACATCAATGAATAATATTTTCACAACAATTAATAATATTAATCTCAGATTATAGCAATAATACCACTATTGCATTTATAAACATCGCTGTCAAATATAAACATACTGAGGTCACCATCAAGGAGATTTCAATTAACCCTTATAGGCTGTTGGGGATGTTTTCATCCGCTCTGGGGTGATTTTTGAGTCTTAATTTGGCCATAACTTTCTCTGTTTCGGCTAGCGAAACGATTTTTGGTCTTATCAAATCTTATTTTGACACATATTTTGAGAAAATGCTTTTGAAATTTTTAAAGAACTCAACAATCTTGGCAAATTTACTTCTATTTTTTATGTTTGGATGAAAACATCCACTGAATTAACTGCTGTAAAAATGCTTTAGATAAATATTTATATCTCCGTCCAGATCAAAACTGCTTAATTGTTTAGAAAACTACAGGATTTACTCTTTAACTGCCAGATTCATAAGTGATATTTCTGATTTGGTGAAAAAACACACAAAATGACATATTTTCAATATATAAATTAACTGTGGACTGGTTTTTAATCCTTTTATCACAGTCTTTGAAGCAACATTGCCTTTGCACTGTTTTTGATAGATTTAATTTTTTTCCTCAATTTGCTGTTGGTGGCTGTTTTTGCCCCATTGATTTCCTTTATAATCACATTTTTATTGTAAAACCATGACACCATATTATCATGGTTTTCCATGTTAGAAAGAAGTAAAATAAATAATTTTCACTGTTGATCATCAGTTGGCGCCATCAACCCTTTAGATAGGCCTGTGCAAAAAAAAGCTTAGTTTCTGGATTTTATATGGTGTATAAATTAATGTGTGTGTGTGTGTGTGTGTGTGTGTGAGACCTTTAGCACTTACCTTGATGTGTCTGAGAAAATCCAAGTATGCATCTCAGAACTACATGGAGTAACTAAAGCAAAGACTGTGTTTATGCACAAATGTGCTTATAATGGAAGACAATGGGGCTAAAACAGCCATCAACAGTCAATTAGGGAAAAATTGAAAATCTAACAATGCATCAAAGCCAATGTTTTATAGTGTTTGTGTCCAAGACTTTGATCAAAGTTGGATTTCTCTTATTTTTTCAGTTTAAAAAGTTTGAAGTCTTTGATAGTCTTAGACTTTTGCACATCTAACGGGTTAATGGTGCCAACTAATGATCAAGAGTAAAAATGACAAATTTTCACCCCTTTCCAACAGGAAAAACCACCAACAATCAAAACTGCATGATTATATGGTGTCATGGTTTTGCAATCAAATAAATGTGGTTATAATGGACGAGAATGGGGCAAAAACAGCCACCAACAGTAAATTAGGGAGAAAAAAAGAAAATCATTTAAAAACAATGCATCAAAGTCAATGTTGTTTCACATGTCCAAAACTTTGATAAAACCTAAAGAAAAATCCAGTCCACAATTATTTTTCATATTTAAAATACGTCATTTTGTGTGTGTGTTTTCACAAAATCAGTGACATAATTTATGAATTTGGCAATTAAAGAGTGAAAATCCTGTAATTTTCAAAGCAATTTAGTAGTTTATGCAAAAAAATATTTATCTGATGCATTTTCACAGCAGTTTAATTTACTGGATGTTTTCATCCGGAACATAACAAAAGGGTAGTAAATTTGAACAAAGCACAAGGGTTAAAATAAACATCACATGAAATCAAATAAAAATAAACTTGTTTTACTTTATATTTATTTTAGGTCTTTGTTTGTTTTTAATTAAATAAGAGGAAAAAAATCTTAAGAGATAATCAGACATCTAAAAATAAGTGTGATTAAAGTAATTAAATTGAAGCACTATATATAAAATCTACCATAGACTAATCTTAGAATTACATGTGAAGTCGCGTGATAGAGTAACCGTTTAAAATGTTTAGTTCTTAAAATATTATAATTATAAAGCATAGCAATAATCCAGTCTAAACACAACCACCATCACCATAATAATAATAATACAGCATGAGCGGCACGTCTGTCTTTTCTCACACAGAAAACCCCCCAAAGCCCCTCCCCCTTTCTATTCTTGCATGACCAATCAGAAGAGTGAATGGATTAAATATTTGAATAGTCACGCAAGCTGTCTGCGCTGATCCAGGGCGTGTGTGTGTGCAAACAGAGATGACCTACAGTTTAATCCAACACCATAAATCAGTGTGTGTGGGTCACTTAGTGTTAATCTGGATTTTATTGAAATGAAAACTGACAGTTCAGTGGTTCATTGCAGTTCATGAAAGCGTCCAGCAGGAGGCTTATTATAATAGTGTCAAACTCTAGTCGTGTGAAAAGCTAATTCACCGGTGACTGATGGGAAAGAAGTAACTGAAAGCAAATGACGCCTCTTAAAGGGACAGTTCACCCAAAAATGAAAACATACTTATGATTTCCTCACCCTCAATTCGCTCTAAACATTTGAGTTTTGTTAATACAACTGGCAACCATTGACATCCATAATAGGATAAAGACATACTACGGAAGTCAATGGTAACCAGTTTTCAACATTCTTCTAAATATCTTCTTTTGTGTTCATCAGTAGAAAGAAACTCAAACTGGTTTGTAACTAATGGAGGATGAGTAAATGATGGTGCACTGTCCACTAGGCTATCAGCACCATCGACTGAACTTGTATATGTTTTTAGGTGAACTATTCCTTTGTTTCATCTTTAAGTAGAACAAGCTAAAAGAAAAAAAAAACATGTTTCTGTACATCAAGTGATCATAAATCATCAGTAACTGTAACCTCAATAAGAGCTCCTGCCACTCATGTTTCCACTGTGCTGGCAGCAAACGCATTTCCAAAGTGCATTGAGGGAAGGAGTCAACACTCGGTTCTGTGACCTGTTAGTAGCTCAGCAAAGGCTCCAGGTTATTTCAGCAGTTTGGGCACAGCCATTGAGGTCATGGAGGTCATGCTGATGGTTGGCACAATGATGTCTCTGAAGACGGGCTGAAAGTTGGAGGAGGTGGACGGTTTGTTCTGGTTCAGAGTCTCTATGATGGTCTGTCTCATTTCTCGACTGGCATCTCCTCGGATGGCTAACAGCGCCAGGATGTGCTCCTCTCTATTAGAGGATGGAGAAAGAGATGGAAGAGTTATTGACAAATATCTTAATATGTCTGTGGAAATAAAAATGTACATAATCTGGTTTCATATAAACGATAATATATATAACTGAGGGGCGTCACGGTGGCACAGTGTGTAGCATGATCGCCTCACGGCATGTAGATTGCTGGTTCGAGGACCGGCTGGGTCAGTTGGTGTCTGTGTATAGTTTGCATGTTCTCCCTGAGCCCAGGGTTCTCCGGATTCCCCCACAAGTCCAAAGACATGTAGTACAGGTGAATTGAATAAACTAAACGGGTCGTAGTGTATGATCGTGAATGCAAGAGTGTATGGGCGTTTCCCAGCATTGGGTTGCAGCTGGAAGGGCATCTGCTGTGTAAAACATATGCTAGATAAGTTGGCGGTTCATTCCGCCGTGGCAATCCTTGATTAATAAGAGACTAAGCCGAAAATAAATCAATAAACTCGGATATCTCTACATAAAAAGGAAAGTGACACTTTTTTTATTCTCTACCACCACCGAGTCTGACCTGATGTCAGGATATTTGGAGACCAGGGTGGACACCTCCAGGTACAGTAGAGCAGGATCGGTCAGTTTGAAGACCTCAGCAATGGCATTGATGGAGTCACACAGCCGGTCTGTGTCTTCTCCCTGCGCACATACAAACACAGCAAACCTGACATTAACCTGATACAAAAAAATAAAACACTAGAACGCTTCCCTATGATTAGGGCATTTGCTAATCACAAATACTAATGTCTTGCTTTACTATTATTTTGCTCTTAAAAAAAGTAAATGATTAATTATTTGCTACTTTATTAAGTACACCTGTCCAACTGCTCGTTAACAGGAATTTCTAATCAGCCAATCACATTGCAGCAACTCAAGGCAACTAGACATGGGCTGTTTCTCAATATGCGTTCTTCAGCGGTCTTGCGTCCTTGTGTAACGTCATCATCAGCTGCCAAAGTTCGGTTCCAATACTTAAGACCGCAAGTACGGAGGACGTGTGAAACTTCCTGGATGTGTTCTTGATATCGAGGATGCACCGATGCAGACTTGAGCACCGATCTCGCTCTAGAAGTCCTTTAAGTCATTGCGACTGGATGTGGGAAGCGCAGAATTTTATTTAGATTTATTATTAAAGTTCAGAGATATAATTTATTTACCTCAGGAGTTTTCTCTAAATGAGATGGTGAATATAAACATCACTATGGACATCTTAATAAAGGAATAAACATTAAGGGTGTTTGTTTGCTGAAACTCGTATTAAAATCTGTTTTATTTATATTGCGCAACGTATATTTATAATGTTTTTATGCGTAGTATATATTTTGAAAAGGGCAAAAACAATAAATAGCTGTATGAATGCTGTAATGTTTCCATTAAAAACACAGGAAGGTTACGTTAACATCAGGAAGAACGCAGCATCTCATATCTCACAGGACGCGTTCTCTGTTCTTGTGGTCTCTCGAGTTCTTTCTTCCGAGGACACCTGGCAAGACCGGTCTCCACTACAATGCAAGTCCGTTCTCTGCTTTCTTGGAATTGAGAAACAGGCCTGGTCAAGTTCAAACCGAGCATCAGAATGGGGAAGAAAGGTGATTTAAGTGACTTTGAATGGTTCAGGCTGGTGGTGGTGGTGGTGTAATGGTCTAGGGCAGGGGTGGGCAATCTCGGTCCTGGAGGGACGGTGTGCTGCACAGTTTAGCTCCAACCCTAATCAAACACACCTGCTTATAGATTTCTTGTGATCTTAAAGACACTAGTTAGTTTGTTCAGGTGTGTTTGACTAGTGTTTAAACAGAACTCTGCAGGGACACCGGCCCTCGAGGATCAAGTTTGCCCATCCCTGGTCTAGGGGATATTTTCTTGGCACACTTTGGGACTATTAGTACCAATTGAGCATCATGTCAATGCCACAGCCAACCAGAGAATTGTTGCTGACCATGTCTATCACTCTATGACTACAGTGTACTCATCTTCTGATGGCTACTTCCAGCAGGATAACACGCCATGTCATAAAGCGTGAATCATTTCAGACTAATTTCTTGAACATGATAGTGAGTTCACTGTACTTAAATGGCCTCCAGTCACCAGACCTCATTCCAATAGAGCTCCTTTGGGATGTGGTGGAATGGGAGATCTCTGAGGAGTATTTCCACTATCTTGATAAATCTATGCCACAAAGGATTAAGGCAGTACTAAAGACAAGAGTGGGTCCAACCCGCTACAAGTAAGGTGTACCTAATAAAGTGGCCAGTGAGTGAATAATTTGCTTTTGCAGTACATTTGGAGTATAACCCATGGCACATTGGCTCTGATTATATCTCTAAAAGCACAGTGTATATCTAACCTGATCATTTAAAATAAACATATAAAACAACAAATGCTGACGTCACAGACTCACAGCAGAAAGTTTCCTGAAGAGGAACTTAAACTGTTCTGCTTCCTTCATCATGCGATCTGCTCCCTCTTTCCTCTCGTCTGCATTCTTAAAGGAGATGCGCTTATACATGATGGCTTTAAGATACTCAAACACCACCCGCCGATGAGCCACGCTTGTCATTTCCTGCTCAATACACACACAGACACAACATTAATCACTAACCTCTGTGTTTCTTTAATATTGTATAGTGACTAGGAATGTTACTTTTACATTAGATTACCGTTTTTACTAGTCAAATAAATGCAGTCTACGTAAGCATGACTAAATAAATGTGGTCACAACATTAATAACAAACAAGACAACACTATACAACTATATTACAGTGCACTTGTACTTGTTCTGGTTCATTTATTGTGCAAACCTGATTATAAGGCTTTTTAATTTTGGCAAAGTCATTAAAGTAGTCCTCCACGGTCACACAGATGGTGTCAACAGCATGTGTGCCCGTCAGCCACTTCCGGGTCAGCAGTTCATTAAGATGATGCTGTGTAGAGACACACACAGAAAATGAGTCATAGTTAAACATGCTTATCCTAGAGACCAAACCCCTGACAGCACATCATAACAACAGGAGCATCCTCACCTCCAAATCCAGAAAGACTTCATCCAGCAGGAACTGACAGCCCTCTTTAGCCACGTCATTCAGGAGCTTGTCTATGGTGGCGTCGTCCTGCGTGGGTTCATGAGACTGAGAGTACTTCCTTTTCAGGCTGTTTATAGACTCTCTAAAAGCAAACATTTTCTGATTAATTCATTAGTTTGATTTACACTAGCAATCATTAACTGTTGGTAAACACATAGAATAATGCTGAAATTCTATTTAAAGAGACAGTTCACCCGAAAACCTTCATCATTTACTTATCATTGGGTGGTTTCAAACCAGTAGTTTCTTAACACAAAAGAATAGATTTTGAATAATTCTGGAAACTGGTATCCACTAGCATCTATATTATAAAAAAAATACAGTATGGAAGCCAACATTCTTCAAAATATCTTCTTTTGTGTTTTAACAGAAGAATGAAAATGAAACTTGGAAATGTTTGGAACCACTTGAGGCTGAGTAAGTTTAATAAAATTTAAGTCTAAATGTATTTTTTTTTAGAGAGATCTATAGCTTTTCTACAATCTTACAACATTGTACATATTATAATATAAACGACATACAGATTCTTCAATTGAAACTGTTGTGAAATTATGCAATACAGCAAATTTTTATTTTAAAATAAATCACAGCTAACATGATGATGACACTAGGCTGTATCGCTACTCCAGTTGATATGTTCAACCGGGTCACAAATCAACATTTTTCAAAATATCTGCTTTTGTGTTCCAAAGGAAAAGGTTGAGCACTGAGATGCTAAGCTCAATCATGTCGTCAATATCATTTTTGGGTGGACTATCCCTATTGACTTTATACTTTTAATATGACTTTTTATTTATATATACAGTGCATCCAGAAAGTTTTCATAGCGCTTCACTTTTTCCAATTTTTTATGCTACAGCCTTATTCTAAAATGGATTAAATTAATTGATTTCCTTAACATTCTACACACAATACCCCATAATGGCAATATGAAATATTTTTCAAAATTGTTGCAAATTTATTAAAAATAAAAAATAAAAACCTGAGAAAAAAAAAAAAAAAAAAATCACAGGTACAGAAGTGTTCACAGCCTTTGCTATGAAGCTCTAAATTGTGCTCAGGTACATTCTGTTTTTTAGAAATGTTCTAGAAATTCTAGAAATGTTTCAGCAGCTTATTTGGAATTCTCCTGTGGTAAATTCAGTTGACTGGACATGATTTGACAAGGCATACACCTGTCTATAGGGTGCCAGGGTTGACAGTGCATGTCAAAGCACAAACCAAGCATGAAGACAAAGGAATTGTCTGTATACCAACGAGACAAGATTGTCTTGAGGCACAAGGCTGGGGAAGGTTACAGAAACATTTCTGCTGCTCTGAAAGTTCCAATGAGCACAGTGGCCTCCATCATCAGTAAGTTGAAGATGTTTGGAACCACCAGGACTCTTCCTAGAGCTGGCCAGCAATCTAAGCTGAGGGATCAGGGGAGAAGGGCCTTAGTCAGGGAGGTGATCAATAACCCAATGGTCGTTCTGTCTGAGCTCCAGCGTTCATCTGTGGAGAGAGGAGAACCTTACAGAGGGACAACCATCTGTGCAGCAATCCACCAATCAGGCCTGTATGGTAGAGTGGCCAGACAGAAGCCACGCCCTGCCTGAAATTTACCAAAAGGCATCTGAAGAACTCTCAGACCACAAGAAGCCAAATTCTCTGGTCTAATGAGACTAAAATTGAACTCTTTGAACTGAATGCCAGGCTCCGCTCATCACCAGGCTAATAGCATCCCTACAGTGAAGCATGGTGGTGGCAGCATCATGCTGTGGGGATGTTTTTCAGCAGCAGGAACTGGAAGACTAGTCAGGATAGAGGGAAAGATGAAAGCAGCAATGTACAGAAACATACTGAATGAAAACCTGCTGCAGAGTGCTCTTGACCTCAGACAGGAGCAACGGTTCATCTTCTAGCAGGACAATGACTCAAAGCACACTGCCAAAATATCAGTGAAGTGGCTACACAACAACTCGGTGAATGTCCTTGAGTGGCCCAGCCAGAGCCCAGACCTAAATCCTATTGAACATCTTTAGAGAGATCTGAAAATGGCTGTACACCGTCGCTTCCCATCCAACCTGTTAGAGCTCGAGGGGTTCTGCACAGAGGAATGGGCAAAAATTCCCAAAGACAGGTGTGCCAAGCTTGTGGCATCATATTCAAAAAGTCTTGTAACTGCTGCCGAAGGTGCATCAACAAAGTATTGAGCAAAGGCTGTAAATACTTCTGTACATGTGATTTTTTTTTTTAAATGAATTTTCCAACAATATAAAAAACTCTTTTTTCACATTGTCATTATGGGGTATTGTGTGTAGAATGTTGAGGAAATAAATTAATTTAATCCATTTTGGAATGAGGTTGTAACATAAAAATGTGAAGCGCTGTGAATCCTTTCCGGATGCACACAGAGACAGACACAGAGACAGAAAGACAGACGCACGCACGCACGCAGGCAGGCACGATATATGACCCAGAATTCCGCATTAATGTAATGTTCGACTTCAAAATTAATAAATCAAAAACTGATAAGAGAAACTCACTTGAAGGTCTGGCAGTTGTTGATGATGGCGATCATATACTGAACGTAGCACTGCGGGAGCTGACGATCTTTCAGGTGTTCCTCCTTATAGACGATCGCCTCCTCTCGGTACCTTCATACACATGCAGGAGAACTGAAAATGTGCTTGGTACAGAGCAGACATCACAATGAAATCAAAATGGACAACGCATATTATTTAATTGGAGCATTGACATATACATTATTAATGATTTATATGCGCAGATCATTCGTCCTTACATCAAAAGCGCATCCTTGCAATCTTTAATAAAAATAATCTTCCCTCCCTCTTTTATCTCATCTCTACTCTAATAGCATGTTTACCAGAAAGAGGGAGGGATTGAACTGTCACCACAAACATCCAGGCAATTCTACTTTTCTCTTGTAAAATAATGCATTTCACCCAGACGTACTATACTTCACAATAGAGAACAATACTGCAATCTGTTTGTTTGTTTTAAAAATGTATACTTCAGATTTAGATTATATTAAGACTTAATTTTTTTTGCTAAACACTCTAAACCTGTATTTAGATTAACAGTAGGGCTGCATGATAGTGGGAAATGATGCAATATTGTTGTTGAGAGTTACGATAATCATATTTAATAGGATATAACTAAAGGCCGGCTCACACTGTGCAATTTTTTTTTTTTATAATCCTAAACGATTGTACCATGTCAGATTGCACGAACACGGCTCCCATGTCACACTGTAAGATCTCAGCTGTCATAAAGTCAGACTAAACGACAATGAAGACCTGCCAAACACGAAAGAAAACGCCCCTGGAGTTTGACGTCATCCACACTTTCACTATGTCGTATTCTAAAATGATTGCACACAGCAAAGGTAAACAATCTGAAGTGGCAATTTTGCACACGGCGTGTCTCAATAATAAAACCAGGAAGAAAAAACGGTTTTGACATTTCACCACAGTCATTTGAATTGCCGCATGGATTGCATCATCAGTTGGTTGGTATTAGTTATTGGTCTGACGCTCATCGCAGCTGTTGTCACACTGCAGGAAAGTGTCTGAAATCTTCTGACACTGACAGAACTTCATTGGAGGAAAAATCTGATCACAACGGCCACAGATTTTAGCCCAGGATTTCAGGAATCTTTTAAGATTTCCCAAATTTGTCTCAGACGACAAAATCGTGGCTGAAACCTCACAGTGCGAGCAGGGCTTAACTTGCAAAATGCTTTTTTATTCCATTAAAAATATATTTTTATTAATGTGACCATCATACTAAAATAAACTGGTAATAGATAATTTTTTTCTGAGGTAAGTAAATGTAATATCCAGATGCTTACATTTAGACTTTAAAACACCATGAATGACAAAAAGCATTGATGGAAATCCTGATTCTTATTGGCACATTTTCCTCTCCTGTCTCCCAGCATTAGTATTTATTTTCATCTCTAAATTCATCAGCACCAACTGGAGAGGTGTTTATAAAGATAGTAGAGGTCCCATCTGATTGGTCAGATTTGGATAAACAACCTATGCATTCAGCACACAAATGACTGGCATATGAATATTGCATATTTTATTATAACATTACCATTCACCATTATCGTACTGCGTATCGTACTGTGCAATCTAATCTAATCTAATAGAATATCCTTGATAGCTAAAGTGCTTCTACAAAGCTAACATGTGGGAGGATATTCTCCAAAGTATTAAAAACTTGTGTCTAGGCATGGGACGATAACAGGTTTCAAGGTTTACCGTGGTTTGGAAAGGTCAAGGTTTTATAACTGCTAAAAACTTCTGTTATACGGTTCCAACAGCGCATGTAAGATTTATTTTTTGGCGTTTGTTATGACTCTCAACAACAACAATATCTCCAGCAGAAAAAGACCCTCCACATTAAAAGCTACCGTTCAGGGCACGATTAAGGAAACAAATCACTTTTCCAACAATATCCATGCATGCTCTGGTCCTGAACTATATAGTCACTTACTTAATATCCAGTGAAATGAAAGCTATCCAAAGCCTTTTCAGGATATAAAGAAATCTATGTTTTTGAAATGAATAAAGACAGCAGATGTCAGCTTCTTTTTAGCCTGACATGTTTATTGCTCTAAAATACTGTAAATGTTTCTTAAAATATTTTGCGTTTAATGGGGAAAGAAAGTTGCTGTTTTTCACCCAGACATTTAAAAAAGGACATATTTTAGAACAGTAATCACAATACCATGAAACCGTGATATTTTTAGCCAAGGTCAGATTCCAGGCTGACTCTACAGTTGGTAAAAAAGATCTAATCCAGTCCCATTAGTTGGAAAATTAATAAAGGTTTCTTCTACCAACATTGGAGCTCATTTTATGAAGTTTGCTTTTTGTATGTGGACGCAATTTCCTTTTCAGGCTCATTACCGTGGGAAAAAACAACACAAGTGGCCAGGATGAGATCACAGTACCTTTTTAGGAATGAATTCATCTGCTTCAAACAGACGCCCAGCACCTTCTCTCTGAAGATCTCATTAATCTGAGCGGCGACCTGAAGATTCTGCTCGAACATCTGAAGAGGAGGATCTCATGTTGAACTCGTATAAGTAGGGGGATTAAAGCATGAAGTCGGTCAGTAAGTTGTTGTACCTGGAAGACAATAGCTGGTAATGTGGTCTGGTAGTAGCCATCCTGATCGGCCTCAGGCTCCGTCTCTTTCTGCCAGTCTTTCTTATCTGTTTCCAGAGCTTTACGCAGCCAGCCTGTGATGTTTGACTGAAGACAGATGGGAAACAAAGACTAGCTGAATTGACAATGAACATTAAAATTAAAGGGATAGTTCACCCAAAAATGAACATTTATAAACACTGAAGCATTTTCAAACTTTTATAAGTTTCCTTATTCTGAGCAAAAAAAGAAGACAGCTGAAATCTGGTCACCATTAACCTCCATAGTATTTTTTCCCTACTATGAAAGTCAATGGTTACAGGTCTTCAACTCTCATTAAATTTCTTCCTTTGTGTTCAACAGAAGAAAAACAATCAGTGAGTAAATAAAGAAAAAAATGGTCACTTTTGGGTGAACTAACCCTTTAAATTTAGAAATATCTGGTGTATCCAGAATGTGTCTGTGAAGATTCTGCTAAAATACCATATTGACCATTAATAAACCATTCAAATTAAGCAAAGACATGCTGTTTTATGTGAGGCTATTTAAATGCAAATTAGCTGCTGCTCCCCCCCTCTTTTCATACAAGGGCCTTTAGAGCCTAAATTACAGCAGCAGCAACAAACAAAACTCCTGCATGTTTTTTCTTTATTCTTGTCAGTCTAAACTCCTGATATACTAGATTTTATGAGCTCACAGACATAAAAGCATGAGAACAAAGTCAGCTGTTAAAAAAATACAAAAAAATGAACACAAAAAATTTATATGTAGCATGTATACATTTGGGATATTTTGAGTTGTACATTCTCAAGACACCTGAGAAGTTAAGAGTTTCTTCAGAAAATGTGATTACTGATAAAGCAAATAACTGCTTTTGGGATGAATTTGTGTTTTGTAAAGTTGTACATGTTTTTCTTGCTCAGAAAGCAACGTTAGACACTAAACGAAGCTGAGAGAGAAAAAGCATAATAGGAGTTCTTTTAAGGCTGTGAACGCCGTGAAGAAGGACTTTTATATTTTATATTATATTATATATTATATAATATATATTACATTATTATATTATATATTTATATTATTTTGGGTGACTCACATTGAAGGTCGTGAGGTATTTGCCAAGCAAATCGTTGACCACCTTTTCGGGTAATAGAGGCTCCAGCTGCTTGACCTCACATTCAGGCTGTAGATCAGGATGACCCATCATATCCACACTGCCAGAGACACAACACACACACACACATTAATACACAAGAATTCCATCTGTTTCTTATCCACATTAATGTCAGTGAAATGCCTCAACTCAGAGTTAGAGTTCTGATGATAGATTGATTACAGCATGATCCAATCACTGCTATTTTCTTACACTAGTAGACTGTCTATTTCAATGGCTAATATCAGGAGAATTTCTAATAACCAATGCTGTTGTTGTACTGTAATCCACACGAGTCCAGCTGCGCTCTCATAGCGGGAAAATGAAAACAAAACCTTAGTTGCAGCACATTTAAAAATGCAACACTGACAACCCTTATCTCCAAACAATTCTTTTCCCACTTGTTTTGGCAACACTGTACAAGTATAAACAGTCTTCGAAGTTATCATGCATATTAATGAAGTTGCACCGTATTCACAATAGAGCACGCTGATTGGTGTGAACTAAGTCTTACTCATGAATGAATGCAGCACACTCAGAGACATCACGAAGTACTCCAAGGTATAGACAGCCAGTCTACACTATCAAACACATGCAAGTTTTTAATCGGCATGATGCAGCAAAAATTCATTTCAAACCGGAAGAACGAAATTTGCTCGAAAATCGCAAAAACAACCAATTTTAAATTTTTTGTGTTATACATGTCCTAATAGTGTTTTAAGCAGCATGTGTTTTTGTGTTTCGTGACCCTTTAAAGATCCAACCCAGTAAAAATGCAATGCCTATAGTTCACAGGGCATCAACACAAGTAGTTCAAGCAAAACAGCACAGAAGGCAGAAGTGCAGATCTGCAGGCTGCTCTCATCTCTTTGTTTAGATCTACTACACATAAGTGCATTAATTTTCCAGGCTCAATCCTGTGAGTGCACGCGATCTGATGCTCTGTTTTGAATTCATCAGTCAGATTAAACACACAGAGCTGCGCTGCTGTTTTACATGCTGAGCTAATTGCTGAACTTTGACAGACTGATCTGCCACTGAAGAATGCAGAGCTGACCTACAGTAGTTTACACCGTTTTTTTTTTTTTTTTTACAAGTGAAATGACTGCTTCTACATTTATTAGTCACATAAATAGCTGGAAGTTATTAGCTATAAACACTTTTCGCTTGCAAATAATGGTATGTTATGCAATTCATATACTTTTGGGAAGTATTAATAGTGTAAGAATGGCTATATCTCTCTCCACAATAATAAACCCTTAGAATTGTTATGGAACTCCACACGAGACAAATCCACGAGAATGGTCAGGCACTAAAACAATAAACTTTCTACTCTGCGAAGAAGATCAGCTAAGAAAGCAGTTGTTCAGGTTGTCTCGATCAAGCATCCCTGAGCCCCCCTCTTTGCCATGGACTTTACCTTCTACACCAGAGCAGCTCCACACAGAATGTCTAAGTTTTTAATATGGTGTATCTTGTGGCTCTATATTCCTTGTTTGGTGTCATTTTAAATGTCTCAGTGTGATTGGTAATGTTATCCTAATTTCACAGTAATGATTTACAATCTCCTTTATATCAGTTAATTTGGGTTTTGACTTTGATAAGATCTTAGCCAGATGCTCCACTCCAGGGAAAATGGTCTTCACATCAACTCATGATCAAGCAAGAGTCTTGGTGAAGCTTTTCTTGTCTTGAATTTATGGTGATTTGAGAATTTAAGGGAAATGTGGAGAAGTGTCTGTGGGATCCTATAGCCAGGATACCCCGTTGCAGTGTATAAGTCTCTGAGCTCTGCATTAGGACTTATATGCTGCATTGTATTTCTACATGATCGGGTGTTAATCTCTAACTATTAAATGTATCTGTGAATAACTGATGTTGTGCAATCTGAATTGTCTTATTTTGTTTAATTATGTGAATGGGAATGGAAAATCTTTGCCTGACAGACAAATGTAAAATACTTGTTTAACTCTAATATCTGCTGATATCGCTTAAATCTAGTAGATTGTTTAGGCTGATGTTTCCGCAGCTTATGACCAGGATTGGTCATACATTCAGGCTCAATGGATGGAGCATGGGCACAGCATTTGAGACCTGTTGATTTCTGACAATCGCTGACTTAGTATGAAATAATCTAGGGGTGTAAATCAAACTTTATGTATGAGCAAGCATGGGGCGGCCTAATATTACTTAAAGGTCAGCATACTGACTCTAAAGCGACTTCGGGTAAACGATGAACCATTAACTGAAAATAAAGATTTATTAGGTTAATCGATCTAAATTAGACCAAATCACAACCTATAAGGTGATCAGCTTGAATTGGATGAAACTACATTTAAATTATTATAAATTGGAGTCAGATTAAATTCGAAGTTGGAAACAAATGAAAATAAATTAACAAGTAAAAATATTTCTTTTCACATGTGCTGAAAAGGCTTACACGCATTTAACCTTCACCCATACTGTTAGTTCCGTCACCCTTACAATAACAATAGTGTTACTATTAATCTTATTATACACTGAAAACAGTGCCAATCAGTTATTCAAATTTTAATTAAGTGCTTGTCTAATGTTGTGGCTATTTATTCTGTTTATTTTGACACACTCTACATTTTAAAAAGTGCTATAGTTATTAGGATGAGTTGAAAGGACTAAAAGAACAGGGTTTTAATATTGAAGCCCACCCGAGCACCTCTGGTAAACTGTTATGCCAATATAAAATCATCACTTTTAAAATTTTCACTGCCTGATGGAAACGCAATGTAAAGTGGGTTTCAAACCAGACAAAAAAGCACTGCATTAAGTGAAGTTTTATGAACTAATTTCGAGAAAAGCACGTGATATGATTGAGCACGACTGGCCGCTCAATCGTAATCAGTATTATTCCAATCAGAGTGATCCTAGTTTGCTATAAATGGATCATTTTCTTGCTACTGCTCTATTTTCATTTAGAAGAATCCCCCTTCCACCCCATCTCATCCTTTTCCCCTCTTTTCTAAAAGGTGGAGCTATCAAGACCTACCTGATTTCGGATCCCCCAATATTCTTATTGACCGGGCGGGAGGCCTGGGCTCAAATATTTCCGAGCTCAGGGTTCTCTCCCGGGACAGCATGACAAACCTGCTTTAAATGCTAAGCATATCTAAGTGGGAACTCTTGAAATACAATTATTCCTTACCGTGCATTTAAAATATTCAGATTTATTTGACCACAATATTTTCAATGGGGTTACAGCGCACAGCTGTTGCTTCTGCATTTGCCTCATTTTACGCTTGAACAACTAAACAAATGCTTTTTAAAAGGTTAATTACTATGTTTTGATTAAATTACATTAATGATGCTGTAAAAGAAACCGTGTAAAACTAAAGATTAAAAGGATAGTTCACCCAAAACTGAAAATTCTGTCATCATTTTCTCTCCCTTCACTTGTTTCAACATTGTTTGAGATTCTTTCTTCCGTTGAACACAAAATAAGACATTTTAAAGAAAGCTGAAAACCTGTAACCACTGACTTACCTAGTAATTGTTTTTCCTACTATGGTAGTAAATGGTTACAGGTTTTCAGAATTCTTTAAAATATATTTTATGTGTTCAACAGAAATCTTAAAGAATTGAAACTACTTGAGGAAAACTACATTGTTAATAAATTTTCATTTTTGGATGAACAATCACTTTATCATTCCACCTGAAGTTTGTCAGTGGCTGAAAAAATGATTGAATTGAACCTGTATCTTACCTTTTATAGGTGTTGAGGACCCACGTGAGCATAGAGACGATCTCATTGGCCTCCAGCTCCTCTGCTGCGAGCTCCTGCACTCGAGCAGACACCGCTTTATGATAGAGGGTGAAGAACACCTGGAAAGTGTTGTAGTGTGGAGGAAAACACTGCACCATCAGGTTCTTCACCACGGTCAAGTCGTCCAGAACGTACTTCCTCATGATCTCCAGCAGCCTCACCAGCCACATTTTATCCGACTCACGGGTTTCTGACTGCGTGCTCTCGATGCGGCCGCTCACCGTGCCCTCCAGGACTTCATTCATGCGGTTCTTCCAGCACTTGGGTCTGCCGGGCGGGATGAAGCCGGTCTGCTTTTTACGGTCCAGCATCCTTCGGTCAATCTTCTCCTCGCGCTCGATGATTCGGACCACAGACACCAGCATGGTGGGGTCGCGTCGGACGGTGACCATGGCGCGCTGGAGGACCATCCAGAGCTGTTTGGAGAGCTCCTCGGACAGACCCTGCACCTGGCCGAAGTAGCCGCGGATGAGGTTCATGTCGTGAACGTTCTTGCTGTCCATGCGGTACTGCTCATACATGAGGTCATCCCGAGAGCATTCCAGGTCCATCAGCTTGCGGTGCGCTTGAAGCAGCTCGCCCTGCTCGATCAGGTCATGGGTCTCTCGGACAATCTCAGGGACTGCAAAATGTGCGTGCAGTGTCAATGAGCGTACATAAAACATTTAAAAAATGCATTAAAGGAGACCTATTATGCAAAAATTACTTTTTATAAGGGGTTTAAACATGCTGTGTGGCAGAAGTGTGTGGATATAATCAGCTTCTAATGGTAGAAATATATGAATTATATTCTTTTATACTTAAACTTCATGAAAACAGTCTGCGGAAACATTTTGATTGACATTGTCTCCTTTGTACTTGTCATGAACGTTGTTTTTGAATCTGCCACTATAAGCGGACACCAATGACTGTAAAAAATATGGACGACGCGACAGCCCCTTTTCCCATTAAACGCCTTGAGGGCAAAACGCCTGCTTGACGGGCACAAACTGTCGCAAAAGACTGCTGAAATTGGAGCCTTGACATGCGCAGAAGGATTGTCTGATGGAGCCAGAGGAGGAGCCGCGAAAATGAGCGGAGTCGAGCTTCCAACCAAACGCTTTATGTAAAATCAACCACGCCCCCCGAACTTCTCAGCATGCGTTTGCTGTCATATCAACACAGATGGATGTAATAACGTTAACAAATATGAGGGTTTTATATTTTCAATCGCGCCAGCTCCGGGCCGCAGCGCATAACCTACTTGCGGCGTCGCGGGCTGATTCCGCCTCGCATGCGGCAGCGCCGGCTCGCTCGGCCGCCGCATCTGGCTCGATTGACTCGGGCTGGAATCGGGCAGTGAGTCCAGGCATCCGGAGTAGGTCCAGCAGAGGTAGTCAGTCTGAGCTCTGAGGGGTAAGTCTCCGGCAGGCGAGAATCTAGCCGAACTGGTCCGAGTGTATTTTGTCATCTGGGTGGCTAGGCGTGTATCAGCAAACTAATAAAGCCCGAAAAAAGTCCTGACCTCAGCGAATAAACAGTGTTCCACCAGGATCATGTATGTCAGAAACTATAGTTTACTGCTGAACTCATTTTGTCATGGTAAAATTTCTTTTGAAAAGGGCATAATCTAATTTGAATTTAAAGCAACAGTCACCAAAATGGCACCATTAGGATCAAAGCCTAAAAGCGGCAGACACCCACATACATAACTATTGTATTTTTGTATAAAAACAACTCATAATAAATGATACTAATGATTTTTTTAATCATTTAAATATTTAAAAAGCTACCTTTAAAAAAACAAAAACACTAACAAAATACGTAAATTAAAAAAAACAACACATCAATCCATCTTTTAATTACTAACCAAATGAACACAAAAGAACCAAAAGCGAACAACTATTTAATTTACCAATTAATCAACACACAAAGTAACCAACTACCTTGCCAACCGACAACTAACAACAAAATTAGAAAAACTCATTAACCAAACAGCCGACTTGTATGTCTAACTAACAAATAAAAGGTCTAAAAAATTATCTACCTATGCAAATAACTAACCAATGTCTGCCAACATCTCAAAATGTTTCATTACCCTTTAAGAAGCTTTTACTTTTTAATTTGTTTTTTTACAATTGAGCCATAAACAAATCCATAAACAAATCTAATTTCAAATTTAATTCAAGGACTTTCAAGGACGTATGCTTGCTTTCAAATACTTTCCAGGCCTTGAATCCATATTGTCCAAAATTTAAGTACTTTCAACATGTTTGAAAACCCTCTGAAATGAACAGAAAAGCTGATCCAAGCTCAACAGAAGGATCTCTGCAAACTGACAAAGAGCTTCAGCCTCACCTGAGAAAATGTTCTTGAGGTTCTCGACAGCTGACGCCAGCTGACTGTGCTGAACCACAGCGTCCTTCACGTCCTTAAGGTTCTCAATGGTGTTGATGCTCTGCCTCCAGTCCTTACTGACATCTGCCAGAGAGTTCTGGATGTCTTTCACATCACACAGAGCATTGTGGAGCTGCGTGAGGCCTGTTCGTACCCCGTCTAACTGAGACTGAATAGCAGCCTAGAAAGAGATTAAGACAATGCTTTGATCGACTCTGAAAGAGTTAAGTCATCATGTGTAATTTAGGGTTGTAACAATATACCGGTATGACGGTCTACCACGATTTGAACGTGCACGATTATCATACCATGAACAATTGCATATCAACGGTTTTAACCCTTAAACACCGAGACAGCCGCCCGCGGCTAAAAATAAGTATTGCTCTTAAATGTTTAATAACTTTTGATCTGCTGATCCGATTCATACAATTCAAAGATTGGCATAAAGAAGAGAATCAGCTTTCCAGTGCTGTGTCACATAACATTCGCGGACTTTCAGAGGCTCCGGAATCAGTGCGGTTACGTCATCAAAATTTGAAAACGCTGATTTGACAAAGAAACACTCGTCACTGTGTCTCCGGACAAACCAGACATGATACATTGATGCATTGATGCATTGTCCCTCCTCCATGCCCAGATTGGTTCAAACTCGCTATATCACAACCAAAAAGCATAGGTTTCGCTTTTGTTTGTGGACCAACAACGAGCTTTTTGAACAACACGGAATGAGGGCTAAATAAAACGCAAAAAAAAAAGTTTTGCATGAAATAATTCTCATACTAAGTACTTTTGCATGCACAGCAGCACAGAAACATGACAAAACAGTGACAGCAAAGACGAACTGCTGCTCTTGCTGTTTTCAAAAGACGCAAATGAAGGTGCAGCTGTTTGTCTGCATTGCAGACAACCATATCCATATCCACAGACAACCATATCCATGCTGGCACATAAAACCTAAGGATGGTCCATATTGAATCTAGTTTCGTTATGTAACTATTTATAGTATAGTAAATATTTATATCTATTTTTTTACTGAGGATTTGCACCATGTTTATTTGGACTTTATTTGGACTTTGACACATTATTTATTATTTTCTTATTTTTTTATTTGTTCATTGTAAGTGGTGTTGTTTATAGTAACTGAAAATATATTATTTGGAAAAAGTCAAATTTGCTTCACTGTTCTATTATTTTGTAACATTTGTAACATACCGTATACTGCGAAACCGTCAAACCGTGGTATTGTTTTAGACGATTTTCATACCGTAAAAAATTCATACCGTTACAACCCTAGTGTAATTCAACAGAAATAGTATCACCTTTAATATAGCTCCCAGGTTAGAAAACATTATTTGTGTGGTATTTTGAAACTTCACATACACACTTTAGAGACGTCAGAAACTTATTTTACATCTGATAAAATGGGGCAGAATAGGTCCCGTTACCAAAAACAAAAAAATAGTTGTGAATTTTTAGCAACAATTCAGGAAACAAAAGTCAGAATTGTGAGGTATAGACAGAGAAAACATTCTGTTGGGTTTATTAGTAATAATATAATAGCTTCACCTTTAATCTAGCTTCAACAGATGCTTTCTTGCGTGCTTCTCTCCTTCTGTACTGCTCCACTTTATCCAGCTGGTCCGAGCGCTGAAGCATCCCAGCAACCCTCTGCACTGCCGTGGCCACAGCCTCTCGGTTTGTCTCCTCCATAGTAAACACTCCCAGATGGCAGGGATGAAGGTACTGAAATAACAACAATGACAGTTAAAAGTTCTGAAAATAAACCAATATAGAATATACAATGACCCAATAGTGCTGAATGACTCAGTCTAATTCTATGTGTTACATGTATTGAAATGACTAAAATAGCATCAAACAGTAAAAAGTAAAGGTAATAAAATGACCCTGAAACTGCAAAGCTTAAATCCATGGCTAACACTTTACTTTTAGGTTCCTTTAGTTTATGCTAGTTAATGTATTTACTAACATGAACAAACAATGAACAGCATGTTTATGGCTGCATTTTTTAACATTGTTAACGTTAGCTACTGGAAATAAAGTTGTTTGTTGGTAGTTCTTATTAACTCAGAGTGCTATAACTAATGTTAACAACATAACTTTAGATTTTAATATAACATTAGTAAATGCTGAACTATGATTGATATATGCTGTCCTAAGCTTTGGACAAAAGCATCTGCTAAATGACTAAATGTAAAATACTAGTACTGTACATTCCTAGTTCATATTATACAGAGTGCACATTAACTTACAAACCCTTATTGTAAAGTGTGATCAACGAAATACAATGTTGTTGCAATTATCATTTTAATCATTTGACTATGTCTTTTTCTTCCAAAATTAAATTTAGTTCCTTGAGTATTTAAAAACTTTTTTTGTAGTTGAACGTTTTAGTAATTTAGTTTTTTCTACTTGGTTTTTATTAAATATTTAATGCCAGTTAACAAACAAACCAAAACATTGCATTAGGGCCACACAATATATTGTTTTAGCATTGATAATGCAATGTGATAATTTGCATTAGTCACATTGCAGGGTATGCAATGTTGAGTTTGTATTATAATTTATCATTTTCATGTGTTTTTGATGCCTGTGATTGTATAATGATTTTAGAAAGCATTCAGGTATAAAAATTGTACCATTTGTGACATTAACTATAATTCAGTTAATTTACTTGAATACAGTTAGACTCAGAAAATGATAAAACACTGTATTTTAATTTTAGCTTTTTCTTAATTGTATTTACAGATTGTTCTGCATGAAAATACTCAAATTACATGAAAAAAATCAAAATGCACAGCAAATTGCACACACCAAAACAGAAAATTGTCGAGGAACATCACAAAGCTTATAGATAAGTTATTAGATTTTTATAGAAATGCATTCCCATTGCAGAATCATCCCAATAGATCTAACATTATAAATTCTTTCCATATATATATATATATATATATATATATATATATATATATATATATATATATATATATATATATATATATATATATATATATATATATATATATATATATATATATACATAGCAAAATAAAAAATATATATTGCAATGTTAAAGTTTTCCAATATCATGCAGCCCTATGTTGCATGTATCGAAATGGGCATAAATAGTACAAAATAAGTTATACATAACATTCATTTTTTTTCGTCTCAGGTATTTCAGTATATCAAGTTAAAATAAAAGACAAAGTAATGAATTTTGTAGGGTGTTTTACTTTTTTGATTTATTTGGTAACTATAAGCCTGATAAAATGATAAAAATAACACAAACTGGGAAACATTTTACAGCATAAACAGCAAAGGTGCTTTTAGTATATTTATTAACAATTTGCACATTCAGACATTCTCATTTATAATATAATTTCAGAAAAGTATTCTTTGCAAACTGTAAATAGTGAAATAATTTTAGCAGGCAAATGACTATCAAAGTACAACAGTGTTAGTGATTAACAGTTTTATTGATTCCCAGGCAGATTTCAGAACGGAGCACAGAATACAACTCTGTAAAGAATCAACATTTTACCCTATTAACAAACCCAACCCAAACTAATCCCAAACTACTACTTTAAGGTCCCGGCTTGGCTATCACTAGGCCCACACAGAACCTGCGCACGCAGAATTGCGCAGATTTTCAACCCATCATTAATTCTGTTTATTTACTTGAGTAAATCAAAGTTTATTTCGTTTTTAATTAATTACAGTAATATTATTGACTTATCTGAAAATGTTCATCTGATTTATGTACAGTGCAGTTTGTACAGCAATATTTTCTGTCTTTTAGTAAATAATATATTACATGAGAGACTTGTTTTGTTTACCAAATCAAGTGAATCTAATTGGATTTGCATTTTAAACATTAAATAAAAGTTAAAAAGATATTATTTTTTATTTGACATATTAATGTTTTAGTCATGATACTACCAAAACAATTCAGCAGAAATTTGCAGATTTTCACCAAAATTCTCCACAGAAATAGCAATAAATGTCCACAGATTCCGTCTGGCCCTAGATATCACTACAGTTAAAGCCTCCATCTTTATATCAAATTTAAATAAAACACAATAAAAAATGAATAGATAAATTTAGTCAGAAACATATCACATTTACACTGTCACAAACAGTATATCCCACACACATTTATTACTGTTCCATTTCCAAACACGTAAAGTACTTGGACCATTTTTATAATATAGATTTGTCTTTTCCACTTGCTTATAAGACATTTTTTCAAATGCGACCACTTTAGCGAGTATTACTGACCATACTTGAAGGGAAGGGGCATCTTCTGATTTCCAGCTCCTAAGAATTAATTATCTGCCATTCAGTTATCTGGTTTGGACCCAGGACTATTTTTAATTTTTGTCTGTCCAACCACCTAATATAAGCAGTCTAGGACATAGTGAAATATGTACAGTTACTAGTGCTAATGTTGTTTTTAAATCATACACGCGATTTCAGACCGAATATTCAGAGTAGCGTGGTAAACATTATAGGGAGCATGTCGAATGTGCAAAACCAAAACCAACTTTACCTCAATCCTGTATTCACATAGGAACCTGTGTATTTATAACTGCATTTGTGTTTGTTTGCAGCTGGTTAGACATGCAGAACCAAACTAACACAAACAGTCAGTTATACTAGACACAGTCAAAATAGGAACGGGTTAAGAAAAAGCCCAAATAAAGCCGCAATTTGTTTTGTTTGCAGATATAATTGTTTTGTGCTGAAGGCCCATAGTGACAACTGCTAACGTTGCCTTGCTAAGCACATTAGCATTCATAGCACCGCGTTTTACATAATTAACGTTAAATATTTAAGGTCATGAGAAAGTACTCACCCAGACGAGATGTTCGTTCTCTGAGTTGCGTGTTGTTACAAGCTGTTCATTAATTTTGTGTTTTCATGTGTGTTTATTCTGTTCGTTTACTGTCATAACAGCGGCGTCTTCCTGGTTTCGCCCTCCACTTACCAGTCAGATGACGGCGCTGTGCGCATGCGCCAACAGTATCAACTGCGCGCACACTTTACGCAGATTCACAGATTACAGCGAGGTCAACGAAATGAATAATTAAAAAAAAAAAAAAAAAAAAAAAACGAAATGAATAATAATAATAATAATAATAATGCTAAAATAATTGCAGTGTTGGATGCTAAACAGCTGAACGGTAAATAGAAGATCATAAACAACATTCTTAATAGTGGATAACGCAGCATAACTGCGAAAACATTATAATCTCATATGCATACTTGCCAGATAAATCAAAAGGACTTGAAAAATGACAAATATGATTATTTATACATTCATTCACACATTAAGCAATTAAACAATAGATAAATACGATTTTATTTTCAGTTGAATACTCACCAGCCACTGGACAGGTACACCTGTCCAGTAAACGGTTTGTTAACACAAATTTCTAATCAGCCAATCACATGGCAGCAACTCAATGCAGTTATAGGCATGTAGTAGACATGGTCAAGACAATCTGCTGCAATTCGAACCGAGCATCAGAATGGGGAGAAAAGGAGTCACTTTTAAGTCTTTTTGTAAGTCACTTTTAACGTGGCATGGTTGGTGCCAAACCGGCTGGTCTGAGTATTTCAGAAACTGCTGATCTACTGGGATTTTCACGCACAACCATCTCTAGGGTTTACAGAGAATGGTTCAAAAAAAGACAAAATATCCAGTGAGCAGCAGTTCTGTGAGAGCAACCGGCTTGTTGATGTCAGAGGTCAGAGAATGGCTTCAACTGATAGAAAGGCAACAGTAACTCGAATAACCACTCGTTACAACCGAGATATGCAGAAGAGCATCTCTGAACACGTCAAACCTCGAGGCAGATGGGCTACAGCAGCAGAAGACCACACCGGGTGCCACTCCTGTCAGCTAATAACAGGAAACTGAGGCTACAATCCACACAGGCTCATCAAATTTGGACAATAAAAGATTGGAAAAACGTTGCCTGGTCTGATGAATCTTGATTTTTGTTGTGACAGAACGATTCAGGCTGGTGGTGTAATGGTGTGGGGGATGCCAGCCTACCTGAGTATTGCTGCTAATCATGTCCATCCCATTATGACCACAGTGTATTCATTTTCTAATGGATACTTCCAGCAGGATGACGCGTCATGTCATAAAGAGCGAATCTTAGACTGGTTTCTTGAACATGACACTGAGTTCACTATAATTAAATGGCCTCCACAGTCACCTGACCTCAGTTCAATAGAGCACCTTTGGGATGTGCTGGAACTGGAGACTTGCATCGTAGATATGCAGCCGACAAATACGCAGCAGCGGTGTGATGCTGTCATGTCAATATGAACCAAAATCTCTGAGGAATATTTCTAGTACCTTGTTGAATCTATATGCCACGAAGGAATAAGGCAATTCTGAAGGCAAAAGAGGGTCCAACCCAGTATAGTAAGGTGTACCTAATAAAGTGGCTAGAGAGTGTGGATTATGTGCAGATGAGAAATCATTTAGAATATACAGTATAAATGTATATTTGAGCAATAAAAAAATACTAACAAACACAAAATAGAAGATTTCCAAAGGGCAAAAGAGATTTATTTTTCACGTTCATCCAAAATCTGTACCTAAAAGTAATAAAATACAAATCATCTTCTCAAAAATATCTATGAAAACAACCTGAGTTTTTGCACATGATTAAACAGTCTAGAATTGTCGAAAGCTTATTATATGTATATATTTATTTATATATCCTGAAGGAAGTCCATTTCTGAATCGGATTTAAAAACAAAAAAAGTAATTGTGACTTTTGTTTTGCAATAATTCATGGAACAAAAGTCAGATTTGTGAGGTACAGACTGAGCATATTGTCGGATTTACTAATAAAAATTATGAATTTTGAGTATTATGAAATATTTAGGGCCAGAACGGTAGCGCAGTGGGTAGCACAAAGACCTCACAGCAGGAAGGTCACTGGTTCGAGCCCCGGCTGGGTCAGTTGGTGTTTCTGTGTGGAGTTTGCATGTTCTCCCCGTGTTTCCACCGGGTGCTCCGGTTTCCCCCACAAGTCCAAAAACGTGGTATATGTGAATTGAATAAGCTAAATTGACTGTAGTGTATGTGTGTAAATGAGTGTGTGTGGATGTTTCCAAGTGATGGGTTGCCGCTGAAAGGGCATGCGCTGCATAAAACATATGCTGGATAAGTTGGCGGTTCATTCCGCTGTGGTGACCCTTGATTAATAAAGGAACAAATTAAATATTTATCTTGTAATTCTGAGTTAACATCCCTGACCTAAATAAATCAAATAAAACTTGGATTTTATTTCCTGGAACAATGAGTTTATAGACTCTCACACAATTCTGACTGTATATCTGACCTATATAGGATATCTTGCAGTCCTAACATTAACTTTCCATAACTTACATATTTCAGTTTTACTACTAAAAACATATTGAACTCATATCTTGCAGTTTTGACTTCATATCCGGCCCAGAAATATAATATATAAACCTAAAATTATACTCAAAGACAAATCATATAGGTGTCAAACTCTGCAGCTCTGCACAGTTTAGTCCCAACTATAATTAAACACACCTGATCAAACTAATTGAGTGCTTTGGGCTTGTTTGTTGGTTTGATACACAAGAGTTTGAAAATGCAAAATTATGTCGTGCGGCGCTGCGAAAAGGGGCGGAATTAAACAAGATAACATTAATAAAAGCGAGCGATTGCTCCATGTGTTTAAATTTCTGTCCAGAGAGGTCATATTTATCATATATTTGCAAAACTTGACGCATGACCCTGCGTTTCCGGTCTGACGCATTCGCGTGCGTATGAATAGAAGGCAATGGGGAGAAAAGTCCAGTGTGACCACAGCTTAAGTGTGCTACTAAACTTAGCAGAGCTGCAGCCCTCCAGGAACTGAGTTTGACATCCTTAATGTAAACCATATATACTTTTTTTTTGTTTGCATCGCAGCAATCTTCCATAAACAAAGTTTTAAAGGGACATTTCACCCAAAAATGAACGATCTGTCATCATTTACTCACCCTTTAATCTTTCTAAACCTGTTTTCCAAACCTTCATATCTTTCTTCTGTTAAACACAAAAGAAGATATTTTAAAGAATGTTGGTAATCGGTAGCCACTGACTCCAATAGTACTTATTTTTTCCTATATGAATGTTCATTTGTGTTAGCTTACACAATTCTTCAAAACAGTTGTTGTTTTTGTTCAACAGAAGAAGGAAACTCATAAAAGTTTATAATCAGTTGAGAGTCATAGATATTTACACTAGATATCGCATACGGTCAATAGCGCCGCCACATTTGTACAGTGCTCCCAGGACAAAAGCCATTCAACCGCACTAGTCAAGACTAAAGCCAATGTGAAGATGCTGGACTTTAGCCCTACGTACAGGTGTAGTGATGAGCAAACAAAGAAAACAATTCATAGGTAAGATTTTGTTTTTTATGTTTTTGTATGTGACGAACTTTTGTGTTAAACAAGTAACGTTATTAATGATAATACAGTCACCTACTGCACTGACCATAAGGCAAAGTAGCACCAACTCGCACTAAATGCTAGGCCTATGCTAGTTTTGTTGAATAAAACCAGCAAACAATGTAAATGAAATATGATGACAAGACGCTGCGGTGCCAGAAACTTGTATTATTGTCGTCTAAGTGAAGTAACAGCTAGTGTTTGAACTTATAAGGTACCTTATAACAAAAAAGAGCCTGCACCTCAATGTGCATACTGTCCACCTTAAATTATTGAATATTACAGATACTGCATATAATTTAGATCAGAAAGGTCGATATGCACATTGAGACGAAGGTATATAACGATGGTTCACACGAGTCGTTCTTAATAGAGATTCATTCACAAGCGAATCGCTCCCTCCGTTAGAATTAGAAGGGAAAGCAGGAGAGGAGTTGTGTTTCAGCACATGGATTAGATTAAATTTAATAGGGAGGGAGGATAATACAACTCCTTCCATGTACACAAACAAACGCTTTTTGTTGCTATAATTTTCATAATTAAAAAAAAAAATTGCATACTGAACCCTGGGAAAACTCCCGATCATACATATATGCGTATATCTATGGCTTTGGATGGCCAGACCTTTACTGCGCCTTGGTCCCACATTCATTTCAAAGGACAGCTATATACCCTGTACTAAAATGGCGGCTCTATTGATGCTTCCAATAGACAACAACTGCGTAGGTGGACACCCATGACGTGTGGAGTCCCACAAGGCTCGATTCTGGCACCTCTCCTGTTCAACCTTTACATGCTCCCTCTGAGTCAAATAATGAGAAAGAACCAAATCTCCTACCACAGCTATGCTGATGACACTCAGATCTACCTAGCCTTACTGCCTAATGACTACAGCCCCATTGACACCCTCTGCCAATGCATTGATGAAATGAGCAATTGGATGTGCCAAAACTTTCTTCAGTTAAACAAAGAGAAAACTGAAATGATTGTGTTTGGGAACAGAGATGAGGTTCTCAAGGTAAATGCATACCTTGGCACTAAAGGTCAAACGACAAAAAATAAGGTCAAGAATCTTGGTGTGACTCTTGAGTCAGATCTGAGTTTTAACAGTCATGTCAAAACAGTCAGTAAATCAGCATACTATCATCTCAAAAACATAGCAAGAATCAGATGCTTTGTTTCTAGTGAAGATTTAGAAAAACTTGTTCATGCTTTTATCAGCAGCAGGGTGGATTACTGTAATGGACTCCTCACTGGTCTGCCTAAAAAGACAGTCAGACAGTTGCAGCTCATCCAGAACGCTGCAGTCAGAATTCTGACCAGAACCAGAAAATCAGAGCACATCACACCTGTCCTCAGGTCTTTACACTGGCTGCCAGTTACATTCAGAATAGATTTTAAAGTATTATTACTGGTCTATAAATCACTAAATGGCCTAGGACCTAAATACATCACAGATATGCTCACTGAATAAAAACCTAACAGATCACTCAGATCATTAGGATCATATAAACTAGAAGTTCCAAGAGTTCAGTCAAAGCAGGGTGAATCGGCTTTTAGCCACTATGCTCCTCGCTGCTGGAATCAGCTTCCAGAAATGATCAGATGTGCTCCAACATTAGGCACATTCAAATCAAGACTGAAAACACATCTGTTTAGCTGTGCCTTTACTGAATGAGCACTGTGCTGCGTCCGACAGATTGCACTATCATGTTTTTCTCTTCTTCTTCATTCTTTCATATCACATTTGACCTGTTTTTATGTTTTGTTTTGTTTTGTTTTTACGCATTTTAATTATTTGTTTTTATTTTTATTTTACTTGTTTCTTTTATTCTTGTTTATGTAAAGCACTTTGAAGTGCCATTGTGTATGAAATGTGCTATATAAATAAACTTGCCTTGCCCTGCCTTGCCTAGGTGACATCTAATGTAAATATCTATGGTTGAAAGTAAGTAAATTGCCTGTAACTCTTAATTTTGGTGTGAACTAACCCTTTAACTATATTTTGGTTAAAGATTTAGTTTTAATATGTATTTCTTTAGAGCTACTATATAATTTGGTGTTGCTCTGACACCTGATCTGGTAATTTAGCAAACAAATATGACAATGACATCACTGCGGATAGGTTTAAAACACACATCATGATTTTGCCAAGTACGAAATCAGGCTGGTGGTTTTAAACATTCCATCAGTTGTAAATATTTTTAAGTTTTTCAGTTTTTGTGGGAAAGTTAGTACATTATTCAGCTTGAGCTAAATAGATCCTTTTCACATTTCCGGGTTTTCTCAGCAGCGAAAAACACCATAGTTGGGTAAAACCATGAGAGCATGAATGGGAGAGTAACACAAATATATATTTTTTGCAATCTAATTTGCTTAAAAAAAAAGAAGAAGAAAATCTCTACAATAGTGTTTTCACAACTTAAAATAAATAAATAACATTTGTGAAAATGATAACGACAATCAGAAGAGAGAAAAACAATGCATAATTGTATATAAGTGTGTGTGTGTGTATCAATATTAAATTTGATGCAAAGATGATATAATACTAAGTATGGCTTTATAAATGTACATATGCTTTAAAAAAATCTACCCATTAAAATCTTGAGGATTTAAAGAGGTAGTACACCCAAAAATGATGACCCAAAAAAAATTATATATATATCAATGGTTACAGGTTTTCAGCATTCTTGAAAATATCTTCTTGTGTGTTTAATAGTACAAAGAAAGTCCAAAAGGTTTGAAAGAAGTAAAGGGTGAGTAAAGGATGGCAGAATTTTATGTTTTTGGTGAACTATCCCTTTATATTGTAAATAACAAGCTATTTTTAGTAGCTGCATCATCTGCGGTCAATATTAAGCTTTTGTGACCTGACGACATTTTAAAGGAATAGCTATTTACTCACCTCCCCAAACCTTTTACCTTTTCAGTCTCTTTTTTCTGTTGAACACTATCTATCTATCTATCTATCTATCTATCTATCTATCTATCTATCTATCTATCTATCTATCTATCTATCTATCTATCTATCTATCTATCTATCTATCTATCTATCTATCTATCTATCTATCTATCTATCTATCTATCTATCTATCTATCTATCTATCTATCTATCTATCTATCTATCTATCTATCTATCTATCTATCTATCTATCTATCTATCTACTTATTATTATTTTTATTTTTAATTTTTAAAGAAGAAGCAGCTGAAAACCTGTAACCACTGACTTTTATAGCAGGAAAAACACATTATAAGTCAATAGTCACACATTTTCACCATCCTTCAAAATATCTTTTTGTGTGTTTAGAAGTACAAAGAAAGTTCAAAAGGTTTGAAAGAAGTAAAGCGTGAGTAAATGATGGCAGACTTTTATGTTTTCGGTGAACTATCCCTTTATACTGTAAATAACAAGTCATTTTAAGCATTTTCTGCGATCAATGAGAGTTTGCGACCTGACAACTTACTTTAAAGATATAATTCACCCTAAAATGAATATTTGCACATCCTCAAAACCTTCTTAGTTATTTTTTCGATGACCACAAAAAAAAATATATATATTTTAAAGAGAGCTGAAAACCTGTAACGACTGACTTCCACAGAAGAAAAAAGCTAATACTATTGATGTCAATGGTTACAGGTTTCCAGCATCCTTCAAAAAACCTTTTCAACAGATAGTCAAAAAGGTTTGGAACAAGTAAAGGATGAGTAAATGATGACAGAAGTTTCATTTTTATGTGATCCCAGCGTCGTCATCACCGTCTTGTAAAAAGGGTGTATTAAAACAGAAAATCAACTATTGCAAGCAACAGTCAGTCAATATGGTCATTGCATGTGAACATATGGGTTTCCTTTGAGCACAACGTTGCTCACAGTGCAATTTGCAGGGATATTGTGTTGCACGTGTCCTTGAATAACCTCAGGACACCAAACGGGAGAATCATCAGGTTCTTGTTTGATTATGTGCACCCGGTTATGACCTCTAAACTCATAAGCCAGCCGCTGCATGTTGTTTTTATGCTCATTAGTGAACATATATCCGTCTTGATTCCCGATCGGCACATCCGAGTGATTCAGGTCTTTATACAGGACACACTTTCGGGGTCTGCTCACTCCTGCACACAGATACTTGTGGTGTCCATTGGTGTAAGGACTGACGGTGGTTTTACCTTTTTGATAGAAGCTGCAGTAGTCATAATACTCAGGCTCGGTTTTCACCTGCGTGTAATCAGGGCGCCAGAGCATCCCGTATGCATTACACCCATTTTCAGAGTCAGAATCTTGTTCGGTTTTGATGGCGGCTTCGGGGAGTGTGTTAAAAGCTTCATTTTGCATCATATATCTTTTCTCATCATCCACTTCATACTTCTGTAAATGTGAGTTGCAACCAATTCGTAATTTAACAGAGTAGTTGTGTTTTTGGAAGCTTCCCGGTTGGTAGTTTTCGTTGGAGTCTGTGCGCAAGGCAACAGGACAGCGGGCATCCCATGATGCATCATCCGTCTGCAGTTTAGAGGACACTGAAGTGGAAACATGCGAGTTGAGAGGCTCGTCTTGAGTTTTGCAGGCGTCTCCTCTGTATTTTCTGCTGTATGCCCATGAAGCGTCCTGAGAAAAAGTGCTCATCCAGTTATAACGCAGCTCGTCTTCACTGTCATATGACCCTCGGGGAGCTCGCTGCCTTTTCTCACTGAAGATGGCACAAGTTGGATGGGTTAAAAGATTATTTATACTCACAAATTGTACTTCACATACTGTAAAGCATGCATTTTTTGTGCATTATTATGATTGGGTATTGTGTAAATAACACAGTATATTGGTATATTAATGAAGCAGTTTTGTTATGCAGTAATGTTAAAAGGTTTGGGGTCGGTACACTTTTAAAAGTCTAATATTTAGGTCTTTATTCAAACTAAGGTTGCATTTAAATGAAATAATTGAAAGCATTCTTGTCTGTGTGGTTTTTTTTGTCTGTAATGTTTAATATTTTATTTTATTAATGAAGATGTTATTAGTAATGTTTAAAGGTTTGGGATCAGTAACCTTTTAAAATATATTTTTACATTTTTCTAATATTTAAGTCCTTATTCTCACCAAGGCTGCATTTACATGAAAAAAATTGTTAACATTGTGCTGTTTTTTTACAATAATAAATGTTTAATATTGTATTTTTATTAATGAAGATGTTTTGTTATTAATATTTAAAATGTTGGGATCTTTTAAGCTTTTAAAATATACAGTACATGAAGAGTTTAAATGCAAAAACCATCTGAAACAGACTAAGTGCCGTCTGAAATTTCCATTGAAAATTAGCATTTATCTCAGACCCCTGTTTATGTTGAGTTATTTCATTTTAAAGGCCTTTAAAAGTGTGTATTCTTTGCCATAAACTTGAAATTACTGAACTTACATACAGGAGCCTGATAAAAACGCTCACTTTTGAAGGACATTTCAAATGGCTTTTAGAGGTTTTTGCGTCGGAACTCTTCATATTTTTTAATATTTAAGTCTAATATTTAAGTCTTTATTCTCACCAAGGCTACATTTAAATGAAATAAATAGTAATATTGTGATTTTCTACAACATTGAATACCTGTTTTTCTGTTGGAAATGTTTAATATTTAATTTCTATAATTTATTATATTTTAACACTCTGAATCTTTCATTTATGATTATTATTTCATCATTCTAACATGAGCATTTGCTGCTTTAGAAAGATTTATTATTAAAAATGCTGCACTTTTAAATTTTTTAGGGTTCTATGATTAATACAATAGAAATGAATTACAGTGATTTGAAAGCTATTTTGTAACATTGTAAGTTAGGGATGCAACGGTTCTTGGTAAAAAAAAAACGTATCGCCCTGTTATCCTCCCACGGTTCGGTGCGCCCTGTGCTCCGCGGTTCAGAATATGCATTATAAATAATGGTTTGGTGATACAAACAACTGCAACAAAGCAAAAAAGTTCCATCTTTGTACGATTCTGATTGCCTTTCACATGTCTGTGACCCGTCCAATCACCTCTTATTATGTAAATCTGTTGTTGACATCACGTTTCCTCACGTGTCGGTGTGTATGTAGATTTTCTAAGAGTTCAGCTAGGCAAGTGAAGGAGATAAAGCGCAGGTAAGACCAAAACAGCAACAGACATTCTGAAATTTAGATAGACAAATGCCAATTTTTTTGTTGTTGTTGCAAAGATGGCCTAGATCAATGGTGTCTAACAGGCAGATCGAGGTCCGTGTCCAGACCCAGAAGTGTCCTATACGGACCCGGACATACAGTCCAAAGAGGTCACGCAGGTCTATTACTGCAGTCCTGCTCCTGCTGGGTGTTCTTCCCCACCCGATCGCTCCCACTATTTATTCATTCTGTTTACTCACTATCTGTTAAGAACGATTTTTTTCTGTTCCCACAGAATCAAGAGAGAAGAGCCAAACACTCTCTTTGCTTAAGTTTCATTTACTACGATGGTCCTGATAAGTGATAACGAAGCTCTATGTAATGATTGTTGATAAAGATGTGGTTGTCTTGGTAAAGTAAGCATAATGTAAGCAGTACTTTGGATCAATACTCTAAAAGTGCTCAGTTATTAGGATGTGTTGACATAATTATTATCTTGATAATTGGTTCAATTGGAGTGTTGAGTCAAGATGTAAAACAGGAACAAGGGTAGTTTAAGTTTTTGTTTATTTTACTTAAGCATTTTATTTGAGCATACAATTTTCAAAATGCCTTTTATTTAATCAATGTGAGAACTTGCAAATCTACATTCATATCTGTGAAGCCTGCTCCATTGTCAGTTGTTTGTTACCCAATAAATACGTACACTATTCTTTAAATTCTTATTGTGAATTTAAACAGTGACCCTAAAACCAAGACACATACCGAACCGTCAGTAGATTGAACCATCTCACCCCTATTGTAAAAATGTTTGCTGTCACTTTTAATCAATGTAATGCATCTTAGCACAGTCAAATTTTCTCCAAGTTATTTTTGTTGAATTAAAATGTACAAAAATTATATAAAAAAAACTTACTGACCCCAAAAATGATAGTATGTACTTTTTTAAATATTTTATCCTGGCACTTTAAGTCAAAACTGATCAATTACTGTTTAAAATTGTGCACAGTAAGACTCTAACTAAATATTATCAAAATAAAATAATGACAAGTTTTTAATTTAAATAGCTTCTGAACAATTTCATACAACTGAAAACAAAATCAATTTTTTTATTGCATTTATTACAAAAGATGAATCTGCATTGGATTCAATTCATTTCAATTTGACATTTTGCTTTGGAAAATGATACAAACTTAAACTAAAGACATATACAGTAGTCAACAATTTAAGTGGATCAAACATTTCTTTTAAAGCTATTGAACAACACCCATTCTTATAGTACAAATTTGATTGAATGTTGACTACTGTATATACATATTAATATTCACATCACAAACACACATCTGAGAGACAGACAGAACGTGTACCTGCAGCCAGAGCTTCTGTTTTTGCACTTGACCGTCACGCTCTTCATCCTGAGCTCTGTGATGGAGGGCAGCACTAGAGGAACAGCCACACAGAACAGAGCCAACTGAGGTGGCAGCAGCGCTCCAGAAAGCGTCCTCCTCCTCTGACCCTGCAGGAACTTCAGACTGCCCTGAAACTGCATGTTCTACAGCAAACCAAAGCAAAGCAGAGCGAAAGACCAACTCAGTGAATGGATCCACATTTTGGAAACATCACAAGCTCCTAATTAAACAGGGTTTTAAGTCAAGTGCAATTAGTCCTTTAGGACTATTAGGAATGAAATTTAGACTTATATAGTCTTAAAGACTAAGGATTTACTTTTAATGGCATGGTATTATCATGAGAAATCATGTAATTTAGTTTTTTTTCCTGATTAGGGATTTAACTAGAGGTATTTGCTGTAAAAATGTCTAACAGCCATTGTGAATAGTATCTCTTCGCACTAAAAAAAAATATAAATGTAAAAAATAAGGTTTTATTGAGATGTATTGTTGATCATTGGATGGATTGAGTAGCTTTACTTGGACAAAGCAAAATTAAGACCTGTTCAAAGCGATTTAAGAACTTATTTCTGTGAATTTAGGAATTTTTGAGGCCTAAAAGTTTGTTTTATAGACCCAGCGGACACCCTGTTAAAACTTACAATCCTCAAATGTACCATTTACATCTGGAGTTAAATATTTTGAGTTATACGAGTCTGTTGAGTGCTGGATTCTGATTGGCAGATGAACAATCTGTGCAATAATTTTCAGATAAAAGCACAGCTAAAGTAGTTGGCTGGTCATTACCATATTATAGTTTTATATTATTGTGCTGAATTATTTTAGTTAATACTTTAGAGTAACAGCCAAAAATGCTTGGTGTAAATAATAAAAAAAAAAGGTCAGTGCGCCGACATATGGTGCAGCAGAGGTCCGGGCGTCCCGAGTGCGAATCCCGGCTTGTAGACCTTTCCCAATCCTACCCCCTCTCTCTCCCCCTTCACTTCTTGTCAACCTACTGTCCTGTCAAATAAAAGCAAAACTGCCAAAATTAAATCTTAAAAAGAGGCTTTAGATGTGAAGTTCTACACACAGAAGTAATTTGTGGACAAAAACCCAACAAACATCTTGAGAAACAAAATCAGAACAGTGTCTTTAAAGGCACAGTTCACCTAAAATTTAAAAATGACTCACTAGTAAGAAAAACAAATTAGTATGGGAGTCAATGGTCTCCAGCATTCTTCAAAACATCTTCTTTTGTGTTCAACTGAAACAAGAAACTCAAACAGGTTTCTAGGTTTGCTACCTACAAATATATTAATGTTTATATATTATTTGTAATACAATATTGTGCTTTAATACAACTAGTATGATATATGACCTGCACCTTTAATTTGACCTGCTCAAACAAACACTCTTTTTGAATGTATCAAACAAAACTCCAATACATGCACAGACGACAACATGTGCATTTATAGCAAATAAACTAATGTAAATATTATCCCTCTTCCTTTTTGAGCGCTGTCTTACACCCCTATGATTGGTCATTGTCTTCACACGCTCAACAGAAAGGGCTGTGATTGGCTTTAGAAATTAAAGTAATGTTCATAGAACAGTGACGGGGGAAGAACAGCCACATTTACAGTCTATATGTGCATAGTCCGCGGTTATCACAGGTTTTCCATAATAGACACAGTGGAGAAAACTTGTAACTCAGGCACGCTCGAGTCTGGATCCACAAGTATCACTTTAACAGCCGAGAGGAGAGGAAAAGTTACCTCACAAACAGGCCAGCCCAGCGGGTTAAATGTCCAAGTTTTACATGGAGTTTTACATTTTACAGTTTTTACATGGAGTTTTACAGCATCTTTCCCCAGTAGTGAAATAGCTGCTTGTGACTTTCCAGCAAATTCACAAGCAGCTGAACTGTGCGTAATTATCTACCATTTAATTAGTAGGAGCGCTTTTTTCTTTACTCGCCTCCTTCGCCATAGTATTCTACTGCGACATTGGGCATAGGAGATAAATTACATGAGTACATAATAACCGGTTATGATATATTACTGAACCAATCTCAAATTGTCCCCATCTGCATCTCGGTTTACTAAAGAAACAATAAATTTTGACACCCCTAAATGGATTGTTTTGTTTGTTAAAAGAATTCTGACCTTAAAATGGATTTTTAAAAAAAATGTACAACTGCTTTTTTTCTAGCCAAAATAAAACAAATAAGACTTTCTCCAGAAGAAAAAATTTTACAGGAAATACTGTGAAAAATTCCTTGCTCTGTTAAGCAAAATTTGGAAAATATATCTAAAAAAAATTCACAGGAGGGCGAATGATTCAGACATTAACTGCATATCTCATGACTGACCAGGAAGCCGGAGGTGCTGTCCAGCAGGCATCTCATTCGAGCAATGAAACATCTCGTAAGAAACGGAGTCAATTCAGGAGAAACACCGTCAGGCTGTTCAGCGCTGTACAGATGAGCCGTCACAACATCCTCATCTACCAAAAAACACACAAACGCAAGACACATGACAGATGAATGCAGTGAAAAATATTCTAGTCTCCCTTTTCCGTGCAATTACTGTATAATGAAAGACAGCTGCAGCTTATAAGCTTCAAAATAGATGCAAAAGCACCATAAAAGCATCGTAAAAATAGTTCATACAACTTTTCTGGAATATATTCTTGGCTTTAAAAAGTCATATGCACTGTATTATAGCTTTCGGTCACGTGACTGGAAGAAAACGTCCACAAAACTGCAGTACACTGAAAAACAAAAATGTATTTGCTGCTTGTTTAAACTACTTACCTAATATAAGTTGGAATAACATAATTCCTGACATTTTTTGTGACAACTTAATTATTTTATCTTCAATCCACTTGAATTTGTTAAGTTAACTTAATCGATTTGTGTTGGGACAACATGAATGAATTGTATGGAGCCCTGCATTTTTGTACAGTTTGTTTCAAGGCATGAATATTTAGATCAGCTCTCAAAAGGAAATAAATAGAAGATATGGCAGTGTCAAGTGAAAGTTGTAAATATGTCTAAATATGCAATATATTTTCCTCTACCCATTAGGACATAGTTGTTGGTTGTATGTACTTAAATCTCCTGCAAGGATGTTTCCTTTTCGCATTTCACACATGCACACTTTAATGAGTTGAGAGAAGGTTTAGGTGTTTATATGCCAGACAATATTGGAATAATCGGCAAAAATCTACCTGTTTATTATCAATCCTTCAATACCCTTGCATGTAAACACAAAAACTGAACTTCTACTTCCAGAATAAAGCGCTGTCTGTCAAAACCTCACTAGTCAATAGGGATGGGTGTTGTTAAGGTTTTAACGGTATTACTACCTTTATCGATACCACTTATCGGTTCGATACTTTAACGGTTCTCTAATTGGTACTTTATGAAGTGTTTATTTTTTTTATAAAAGAAAAAAACTATCTGAACAGATTTAACAACATTATTTTATTATTACGTTTTTTATGTAAAATAAAGCAAAACCAGTAATTGTAAAAAAAAAAAAAAAAGAAGAAGAAAAAAAGAAAAAAATTCTTGAAAAAAAAAAATGGTTTGAAGGAAAATGACTTTTTAAAATGTTTTCAACTTTTTTTTCTTTTGGAAAAAAAATCAACATGTTTGCCTTTTCTGGCAGAAGTCAGGATCTTTCTTGGTTTATTGTGCTCCCTGCAGTTGAAAAATACCCTTTTTGCGTTTCAAAATGTAGTTAAATAATCAGATAATGTTTAAGATTCTTCATTAACACATTCACATAAATGAGTTACCGGTGTCAAAAACATAAAAATAAGCATTTTTTTTTATAATTTCTTAAGAATAGTTTATTATTAGGCTGTATTTGTAAATACAGCAATGTAAAAGCATTTAATGTTTAAGATTTATTTATACTACTGCAGAAAAAAATAGTCATCAGTGTAACCGAATGTGTGTGTTTATTAAACCAGGGGTTTTCAAACTTTTTCAGCTGAGGGCCCCTTTGTGTAGGGCGAATTCTTTCAGGGACCCCCAAAAAATAAATATCACGCCACCCCCTCAAATTAACAACTGTACTTAATTTTTTTAAATTGTATTATTCAATACATTTATATTATTATATATTATTCAATAAATTTATATTATTCACTATCTGGATTAATTTTTGTAAGATGTTAGTTGAGTTGACATGGTTTCAGTGCTTCAATCTATTGATCAAATCTTCATGCGCAGTACTCATTGTGGTCTTCTCTCACTGGATTCCATCAAGCCTTATTTTGTGTTCGAGTCGTCACTTTACACAGTTTTTTATGCCGTTTGTATGCTTTTTTTCTGCCTATGCACAGCTAGACTCTTCTGTATTTACCCTTACAGCTGAGACTCTAAATGTATCTAAAGATTTAAAGCTTTGAAGTTTTAAAGAGTTTTGTCATTCATCAGCCTGTTAACAGTTAACTGTACTGTTGTAACTAGCAATACTATAATAGTGGCTGTAGTGGTTTAGTGTGTTTTGTTTATTTTTATTCCTTTTTTTTTTGTGCACATCATAATTTACTCAAGTCGACAATCCTGACTTACACTGATAAAAAATAATTTCCTAAATGCAATCTAGAATTGAGTATTCAAGTTCAAAAAGCCACAAATTTTACTTTGCTTAATTTTAGAAGCTTTGCTGACTTTAAAATGTTCATACCAGTTTGTTCTATTAATAATAATACTGAACGTTACATTTAAATTATTTACACAAATAAATATGGGGAAAAAGTGGAACATCTTGAAAAAAATGCATTTATATTCAGAGTATTAAAATTTGATCAGATATGTTGAGCTCCCATAAATTCAGAGCACTAATACATTTTATTTTTTAATAATTAATTAGCCCTATAACATAACACAAACACATACATTATAATTTTTAAATGCTATAGTGGTTTTACTCAGTGTGTATACAATTTAGTTTTATTTTTCATCTAGTTATGAACCAATGTAAGAGGTCCACTGCAGAGCTCATCCAGCTGTCATTAGTGTAACAGGAGTGAAACTGAGCACTCGCTGATGTGATGACAGCTCCATTCATTGTTATTGCAGCACTTTTTGCTTTACAATTTTAATATGTTTGTTTGCCATGCTGCAAAGAGGACCGTCTGATATTTGTACAATGCAAAGTGTAAAGCCTGTCGCACTTTGGACGAGGTGCAATGTTGTGCCGTGTCTTTAAAATGCTATTTGTTCCCCATGAGTGAAGCCTGCGCAAAGAGGCGCGCGCTCCGCAGCACCCAGCTGATCGATTACTTAGGAACGCAAGCCATATACAGGGAAGTGCTTCCAGCCTCCGATAATGTTCTTATTGATCATGTATTTGAACTGAATCATTGTCAGTAAATAGACCTGAGCATTCATTTAGTTGTTTAGCGTAAAAGAGGTAAGCGTAAGTGCAAGGTAAACGCCGTCAGGTGCAGCAGACAAGCGCCAAAAACCACAGGAAGTGCCCGGCCAGAAGCGCTTATTCAAAAAAAGTCCCCGTGCACAGAGGCGGGCCGCTGCGCTTCTTTTCCTGTGTCACGAAAGTGTCAACTGCATTTAAATGACATAAGCATAAAGCTTAATTTTTGCAGTACTTTTGAGCTCAAATTATTATAAAAAATATATTAACCTTCAGAATGATGCGAGACACAAAATTCAACCATGTGGGCCCATTGATTACCCCTTATCTAAAAATTTTTGCGGCCCCCCTAGCGCCATCTGGCGGCCCCCCAGGGGGCCACGGCCCCCAGTTTGAAAACCCTTGTATTGAACGATTAATATTATACTAATTCAGAGACTTTATGTTATTGACTGCTCGCACAACGATGTGTCAGTCAAAAACTTTTCATTTGTCTTTCTGCAGTTAATGCATCTTTGAAAGACGCTTGGCCAGATTACTTGAATTTCTGCTTATACAAGAAAACAACTTGTTACCTTTGTTGCAACGGGCATTGTCGCTGTCCACTCTGGAAACACAACCCGTTTGGTTCACTACGCAAGCTTTTGAGCTGTGTGTGCGCGCGAGTCTGTGTCGCGAGCTATGTGTGTGCGCTTTGCGCGAGCCTCCACTGAGCGCTTGCACAGGCGAGAACTGTAAAGGCTTTTATACTTGACGTGCTCACCTTTGTACTATAAAGCGAAAACACGAGCTTTCCATGTAAAAATGCCAACCTTGCAGACGAATATCGCAAATTAGAAAAGGTTGATCAGTTAAATTATGCTATAGTAAGTAATGTTTATTCAGTAATAGTTCTCCAGTACCGATAGCAGAACCACCAACGTCAGAGCTTATTGATACTTCGGTCTTTTATAATTTAGCACCGATACTGATAAAGTAGAGAGTTATGGTTCCCATCCCTTTCTAGTCAATTAAAGTAGACCATTGACTATTTGATGTTTTTTGCAGAATATATTCTAGATGTACATTATTACTTACAAAATGTATATTGAGAAAGAATGTTATATTTCTGTGACTAAGTTAACTAATCTTCCCATCCTCAGAGTTATATTCTTATTTCAATACTGTATTTAAGTAGTTTTTTGAAATATTGTATTGTATTAAATCTTTTTTTTTATATATATATTGCCATCGTCGTTGGCTATATTCATGGCAAAAACAATTTAAAATGAAATAGAATAAATTGAATAAAAACCAGTCAAGCAAACATACACAAGTTATATTACATCAGACTTTTTACATTAATAAAGAAGTAAAATTCACAATATTTTTAAGGCAATATTGTGCAAAACAATCATTTAAGCAAGTTCACATCATACAAAAGACTATAAAAAATTAAAAGCAGGACAGACCAATAAAATGATTATTTTCTGAATTATTTTATTATATATACATAAAACAGTCCTGTCTGGTTCTCGAATCTGATTGGTTGATAGCCGTGCAATATTCTGCAATAACAGCACTCGTACAGCCTCCTCACCCTTCTGTATTACTCTGCCCACATAGAGTGACACCAGATCAATAAACTCACTACAGTTTGACAAATATAGCAGCTATTAGACAACGCAATGTACTTTTGAGGCTTTTTTTAGGCGAGAATGTAGCTATTTAGATTGCAACTATGCAGTTAATTTATAAGGATAGTGCCTAGTTAAAATATTTATAATTTATACATCGCATCAGTGTAATTTATATATCGCAATATATAAATTATAACAGCACATTGCCATCCATCAACCTGTCATACTGAACAGAGCAAAGATGGTTGACGTTGCCCATCCACAAGATGGCGACAGAGACCACATAATTGGTGGCACGGTGACTCAGTATTTAGCAGTCACCTCACAGCAAAAAGGTCACTGGTTCAAGTCCCGGCTGGGTCAGTTGGCATTTCTTTGTGGAGTTTGCATATTCTCCCCGTGTTGGCGTGGGTTTCCTCCGGGTGTTTTGGTTTGGCCCACAGTCCAAAAAACATGCGATATAGGTGAACTAAATAAACTAAATTGGCAGTAGAGTATGTATGTGTGAGTGAATGAGAGTTTATGGATGTTTCCCAGTACTGAGTTGCGGCTGGAAGGGCATCCTCTGCCTTAAACATATGCTGGAATAACTAGCGTTTTATTCCGCTGTGGTGATCGCTGATGAATAAAGGGACTAAGCCGAAGGAAAATTAATGAATGAATGAAAGTTCAAAGAAACTCATAAGTGTTTGGAACCTCTTGAGGGTGACTAATGGGGTATATGCACACAGACTTTTAATGTCAGTCTTTTAATTTTTGTGTCTTTCCATTATAAAATTGCCACGTTTAAGATGTGATTTCTTTAAAAATCAGTGATCTTGCATGCCTAATAGATATACGATATAAAGTAGGTCTCAGACATTTCTCTTCCACCATGTCTTTAAAATAGGACAGTTTATTTTACCCCAGTATTTTCAATGGAGTGTCTGCTCTCACCTGCTAGTCCTGACAGCACTAGCAGTAACACAGTCTTTCATCTCGTTTTATGCTTAACCAACTAAATGAATGCTTAAGTCTATTTAACTGAATCTATTTTAATTACATTACAACATCGATGTGGTAAAAGGAACCTTATAAAATTGAAAATAGTCACATTACACTTTCACCAGAAGTTCATTATTGGCTGAAAAACACTAGCTGTGCATAAACCTCATTTATGAGTAAATGTTCATTTTTTGGGTGAACTATCTATTTAAGTTATGTTCATTTGTATTGGCACAAATATAATTGCATAATTCCTTCTACAAATGAATGATTGACAATTAAGTAATAGCTGCAAGTCGATGTTTTTAAAGATTGATGTCGTCACATGAACACAATAAATACGGTGAATGGTAATTCTACACACACCAGTGTCCTGCTGGCCGGGGTTCATCGCCCAGTGGATCTGTTTCCGAAACTCCTGACGCTCGTCCACATGGATATAATCAAAGACTTTCTGATGCATCACATCCGTCTGCCAGAAAACAACAACACAAAAGCAGAAAGTGTTTATTCCAGAAGCACTTTAGCTTCAACATCAGTGTGTTTTGTGTTTGAACTTTACACTTGACCTTCACACTGTTTCCTGAGTCTCACACACACGTCGCAATGACCAAACGTCTCTCAGTCAAACGTTTATATGGTCTAATTCAGTTTTATGATAAACCGCATTAGAAATATTATTCATTGCAGAGGTTTTTTTATTCAGCTCAAGCCCTGGTCAAACACTTTTCAAAAGCATTTTAGATTGTGAGGTTGCTGGCAGATAGGGTGAAGAGGTTCATAATTCATGAAATTATTCCTGCGCATTTGCTTTAGTTACTATTAATTATATGTCAGCCCGTGGCACAGAGAGCAGAGAATCAGTAAGAGCTTAAGTATGAAAAGTTGATGCGCTTATGGGGATTTGTGCTTTGAGTTCAGCCTAGGTCATTTCCCATTCTCCTGCTGTGTCCTTGTACTGTTCTATCAGTTACATAATAAAAGAAAAATAAATATATTATTATTTTTTTTAATTTAAAACATAACTTAAATGTAAATAAAAACAATAAAATGCTAAAATGCTGAAAAAGGTCTGTTTGATAAATGAAATAATTATATTTAATTATAAATATTTATAAATTAAATATTTGTTTAAAGAATAAAAATGATATATATAAATATAAATAAAATAAAATATTGTTATCCAATATAAAATAAAGCAATAAAAAGTAAAGTTTTTTTATTTAAATAATAAAAATTAAAATTGCTATTTGATAAATAAAATATTTATAATTCTAAATAATTATGAATCAAATATTTGTTCCCACAATAAAAATATGATAAAAGTAACAAAAGGTAAAATAAAACAGGAAAATATATAAAATAAAGATTTATCTGAATATTTAAAATGTTTTTTTGCCTTTGTTCCATTATAAAATAAACTATACAAAATATTTTTTTTCAAAAAATAATATTAATATTGAAAAATAACAATACAATATATATATAAATATAAAAAATTTACCTTAAAATTTTTTTACAAAAACAATAAAACTTGCTGAAAAATTTCTGTTTGATCAAATAATTATGAATCAAATATTTGTTAAAACCAAAATATGATATAAAAATATAAATATATAGTTTTTAACATAAGAAATAGTAGTAAAAAGTAAGGTAAAATAAAATAGCACTAAGAATCTTTAAATAGCTTTTTTTGTCTTTGTTTTAAAGTAAAAAGTAAATAAATGAAAATAATAATAAATAAATATATATAAAATAAAGATTTTTATCTTAATATTTAACTTTTTGCCTTTGATCTCATAAATTAAAAAAATTAATCTATACAAAATATTTTTTAAAACAAAAAATATAATATTGAAAAATATTAATACAAATATTTTATTCAAGAAATTAAAAGCATATTAAAAATTTCTTTAAAAGTGTAAATAAAAAGAATAAAACTTTCTTTTTTTTTTAAAAAAAGAAAAAATTCAGTTTGTAACTATAAATCAAATGTTTGTTGAAACAAATAAATGAATAAATAAAATAAAATCGTTTTTTATAAAAAAACATAGAAGTCAAAAGTAAAGTAAGATAAGGTTAAATAAAATAACACTCAGAATCTTTAAACTGCTTTTTGGTCTGTTCTAAATTAAAAAGTAAATAAATAAAAAATAATAATAATAAATAAATAAATAAATTTAAAATAAATAATTTTTATCTAAAATAATACAAATTAAAAATTATTTAAAATAATTATAATTATAAATTATATTTGTTCAAATAAAAATATGATATAAAAATATAAATAAAACAAAATATTCTGCTTTGCTGGTCTTTGTTCTAAACTAAAAAGTAAATAAATAAAAATAAATAAAAAAGATAAATAAATATAAAATAAAGACTTTTTATCCGAATCATTAAACTGTGTTTTTGCCTTTGATCTCATATAAATTAAGATAAATTAACTATATAAAATATTTTTAAAACAAAAATATAATATATAAACAATACAAATATTTTTAAATGATCCTCACCCATAAAAATCACTCAAAATCTTTAAAATGTTTTCATTGGCCTGTATTTATGTATAACGTGTGCCTGAACCCACAGATTCATTTTCCTCAGCACCATGTGCTTGTTGCGTGACACCAGGGTTTGCTTGCATGCGAACAGACGTGTCTCTACACTGAAGAACAGCAAAACAAAAGCCTGAAATACCAGCCCACACAACCATACCCGCTGTTCATAAACAACAAACTGAGCCTAAAATATTCGACCTTCCCATTATTTTCCAGTCTGGGACATGCATGCAAAGCTTTCAGCTCAGCGTTCACGACTAACACAGACCTGTGTCATCTCAATTTCCAATCAAATTTCCTTCTGCATGCAGAGGAAGCCTGACTCTTTGAAGGCTGTGAGAAACTCTTAAATTAACCGAGGAGTGAAAAAAACTTGACTATTTTTACCCATTCTTGTGGAAAAGGCCTATAACATGACATGCTTTGGGGATTTTCATAGTCAACCACAGATGGCGTGGGTATTTCTTAAACAACCACAAATGATTTTTGTTTAGATTTGTCTGATGAGACAGGGATTTTATTGGAAAACTGTTTTTAAGAGATACAATGTGTCACTTACTGCTTTTTTCTTTATTATGTTGTTGGATTGTGCAATTTTTTATTATTATTTTGGTTTTGTTTTGACTAAAACATGGAAACTACTACATTAGATGTTGTTCAATAAAAAAAATCCCTCATTTTAATAACAAAGGAAGAACATCTTTCAATATTTGAATAAAATAAAATGTGTCATTTACTGAAGTTGACTTTTTTGTTGAAAAAATGAACACTACATGTATATAACAGTATATAAAGTAAAAATTATAGGTAGGCGTAGATTAAATCTTTTAATCTAGATTAACCTCACTGTAATCTTGGAATTAATCTAGATTTAAATAGCATTCAGAATATGTGTGTTACCCAAATAATGACTAAAAGTAAGTCTTGGAGAACGGGTTTCTCAAACCAGATGGCGCATTAGACCAGGGGTTCCAAGTTAAGTTACCAGTAAATAACTTAAACAACTTCAATCCCCGGAAAAAAGGTGTATAACAGTGTCATAATAAATAACAATACAATTAAAAACATTGTTTTTTTTGTTTGTTGTATGTAGTTGACGATTTATGTGCTGTGCATAAAAGGTCTGCTTCATTCTTGCTACCACCGCAAGTATACTTCAATCCTGTGGGAAGCACTGTATATTACAACCCTAAAACAAGTAAAAGATGGGACAGTATGGAAAACGCAAATAAAATAAGAAATTATTGATTTCTAAATTTACCTTGTATTTCAAGGCAGACAAAACAGCAAAAATTATTTAATAGGTTCCTTGTGATTTCTATAGTTTTTTTTTTTTTCTTTTTAAATAAACACAAAATACCACTTTGGTTTTTACACTACATTCTAAAAATAGTTGGAACAGTAAAGCATTAACCACTATGTATTGTTGCCATTCCTTTTCACAACGCTTAAAAGACATTTAAGGACTGAAGACTGTTTGATGAACTGTTTGAGGGGTAATCTTGTCCTATTCTTCCTGCAAACAGGTCTTAAATTGGGCAACAGTACGGACTCTTCGTTGTTGCATTTTACATTTTAAAAGGTGCCCCACATTCTCTTATTAGAGACAGATTGGAACTGCAGACAGGCCAGTCAAGTACCTGTATCCTCTTCCTCTGCAGCCAGGACTTTGTAATGCGTGCAGAATGTGGTTTTGAATTGTCTTGTTAAAATATGCATGAGCGTCCCTTGAAAAAAAAGGCAGCATATTGTGCTCCAAAATCTCAATGTACTTTTTAGCATTATTATTTATTTAGCATTAATGGTGCATCACAGAAGTGCAAGTTACCTTTGCCAAGGGCACTGACAAAAGCCCATGCCATGACAGACCCTGGCTTTTGGACTTGTTGCTGATAACAGTCTTGATGACCCTTTTCTTTTTGGTCTGGAGCTCACGGTGTCCATTTCTCCCAAAGTATACCTGGAAATACTGATTCATCTGACCATAGTACCTGTTTTCACTGTGTGATGGTCCATTCCAGATACCTCAGAGCCCAGATAAGTCGACAGCTTTTCTGGACACTGTTAACACAGGGCTTCTTTTTGGCACAGTACACTTTTAACTAGCATGTGTGGACGTATTGTAGTACTTAAAACGTTTGCCTGTAGTCCTGAGCCCTTGTGGTGATATGGCTTATAGATGAATGGGGATTCTTGATACAGTGGTGCATGAGTGATCGGAGAACACAGTTGTTCGGCTTAGGCTTGCGCTCTAGTCCTTTTTCCACTGAAATTCCTCCAGATTACTTGAATCTTTTAATGATGTTATGCACTGTTGAAGGTGAAACATCCAAAATGTATTTATCTTTCTTTGTGGAACATTGTTTTTTAACATTTCAATAATTTTCTCATGTATTTTATTGGCAAACAGGCGACAGTTTATCTTTTTAAATAGTCCATCTTCGCTCCTACAGGATTAGATCTTTCTTGGATGCTGCTTTTGTGCCAAATCATAATTACAATCCCCTGCCGACATTGCATGTTTCAAATCCAACCCAAGCTCATTCTGGAAACGTAGCCCCGCGGACGTTTCTGGAGGCCGCGATTTACGTGGCCGGAGGTGCGTACGGACGCGTTTAGTTTTTTCGAGCGAACGCTGCAGGGCGTTGTGGCGCCGCTCCGCTCCTCCTCTTCGCGCTCGCCGGCCGACGGCTCGCCTCCGAGTGGAGGGCTTTCCCGATGCAACCAGTTTGTCCGCTTAGCTCACAGCGTTGCGTCGGCGGAGTGGAGGCCCAGGAGGAGGAGGAGGAGGAGGAGCCGGCCGCGGGGACGACGACCGGGATCAAGTCCGGGGAACAGCGGCTCCAGAAATCCGGTAAGACGATAAACAGAATCCGAAAAATAAGGGCGAGAACGCAGCGGGATCCGAAAACGCGGTCGTAATCGAAGACGAGGGCTTTTCCTTTTTTTTTTTTCTGGATGGCTTTTGCAAACCGTCACTCGGGTTTAGGGAAGGAGGAGGAGGAGGAAGAAGAGGAGGGCGGCCGGGTCAGCCGATCCGGCGGCTTTTCGCGCGAGAACAGCGCGGGCGCAAGAACAGTGCGGGCGCGAACGGCGCGCTCCCGAGAGGCGCCCGAGAAGCGAAAAAGCACGCACAGTGGCCTCTCGCGGATCCGCGAAAACAAAAAACGCTCGAATACGTACCTCCCGGGACGTATATCGCGGCCCGCAGAAACGTCCGCGGGGCTACGTTTCCACAATGGGCCCGGGTTGTTCAAATCACACCACTATTTAACCAATTTACCTGATTACTAGCCCTAAATTCCTCCTGTCCCAACTTATTTTGGAACGTGTTGTATATTCACAAATGAAATGAAGTTGACCAGACAAAACATGAAATATTTTGTGTTAACACTGTCTGCAATGCAATACAAGTCAAGGTAAATTTTGGAAATCAATTTTTTTTTCTGATTTGGGGTTGTACATTATAGGGTTATAAGGGTTTCTAAATCTTTGAGATCCTATGCATCCCCAAATATTTTTGTGTTTGTGTCCATCCAAAGCTATAAAAGTCCCAAATTATATTGAAAACGGTCAAGAATATTATTTGGCAAATATGTTGCTTCTATTAAGTAGCATATTGCATTTTTTATTAACATTATTTATTTACTACAGAACTATATTTTTTATTATACGTACTTTAATCAATTTTCATTTTTCTTATTCATCCAATTTGATTGTTTTAAACGGATTCATGTTTACTTTAGTCACATTTATATATTCCATTTATTAAAATCATATTAATTTGTGAATTTACTTATTCATGAGTGAATTTTCTACATGTATACACATAACGGATTGTATTATGTAATGGTTACCTGATGAAATCCCAGGTAGTCAATGATAGTAGATGATGCATAGAAAATGATGCCATCTGAGCTCACGACTAGTGCAAATCCAGAGAGAGACTACAAGAAACATTATAGCAGATTACTGTAGGAAACATGTACATTTAGCAAACTAATAAAAAAACAAAAATAATCTATCATTTAGAGTTGAAGTGTATAATGGCTTCAGCAGTTACCTGCAGGAGAAGGTCACTCTCTACCACACACGGCTGAACTTCTTTCCTCGTCTCTGTGGGTGAAACATCAGCGCTGTGATTTTCTTTCTCCTGAACTGCTGTGAAGAATAAGTGCACATAAAGAAGATTAATAAGCAATCACACATAAAATATTGGAGCTAATTAAAAAAAAACATCTTTAAACAAATGCATATGATATGTACAGTGTAACTGTCCATGTCAAACAAACAAATAAACAAATAAAAAGAAAATATTGCTATGCTCTGGCAATTTGAAGTGCTTCTTTTATTGTCTTTTGTCAGACCCTTTAGATAAAACAATCTGCTAAATAAATAATAAATGTAAAAATCAACCAATAACAACCATCAAAATCAATTGTCTGGGGACAAAATCAAGTCTTGCTGTTCATTTGTTTTAGTTTGTGAATCCATTTTACTCTGCCATATGTCTCCATAAACAAGAAAAGACTATTGCAGGTTAAACTAAATGAAATTAACCAAATTAAGGAAACCCCTTTGTTTCAGTAAAGTCTAACAAATAAAGAAACCGGCAGATAGCAACTGCAAAGTGAAGGTCTTTCCAATGGCAGCCCAAGCTGCACTTATCTAAAATGTGAAATAATTCAGATGTTTTTCTTCAGTTATTTTTGTGGATACTTCATAACAAACATCAGAACATCAAAGAAAACAAGACAACCAGAAACAGACTCGGCCAGTTTATTTAGCCATGTTTACAATGCTCAAAAACAAAATAATGCACGTAATCTGCATTTAAACCAGATTTCTTTGCTTATAAGCAGTCATTTGTCATAAGCACACATTAACTCTTTCATTATTTCAAGCTGCACCTCTAAAAGAGCACCATCTCCTGGACAAGTGAGATTTCTCTGATCAATACTAATGAATGAATGACCTCAATATCAAAATGATCTCATAATATCTTGACCCAAAATCCATCATAGATAAATATGCAGGGATGACCGAAATGAAAACCAAAAAAGAGGAAAGCAAGGCCGAAAACCAAATGACAAAATAAAGTATGCAAATTATTAGTAAAATTGCATTTATGGCTATGACTGTGTACTAACCTTACAAAAATTAAGGCATTGCAATTGCATTGTCACGGTCACACAATGAGGATCATCTCTTTTCATCAATTTATTCAAACAAGTAGTGCCTTAACAAACAGGAGAAGCAGGTAAGTGAGAGTTTTTGCAAAATAGTTGTTTATGTTGTAAACAGATAGCTTCAAGCAGACATAGAGTGTAAAGTCACTTCTCTTAATGAAGGCTTTGTTCATCCACAGGGTTGAGAGAAACGTTCACAAGTTAAACGATCATCGGAGAGGGGAAACATCCATGGAGGAAAGCGAGTCAGGGAGAAGGTAAGGTAAACCGTCAGACATCGATTTCAACCACTAACTGACTGGAATCGCTGGGTTACAGATGGATTGCTGATGAGCGGTGCAGGTGTGTCTAATTAGAACTCAGGTGAATGTGCTCGGGCAAGATGAGAGATGGTAGGAGATGGGGAGCGATGATTGGTGCTAATGATGTAGATGGTGAGAGAGAATGGTAAACGGAGCAGCAGGAACACACCGGGTGTGCGACATGCATGTACTAACATTAAAGTTTCAACAAAAAAAAAAATCATTACAAATTTTGAAAATATTTATTTAGCACATTGCAACAATGGGTTGTCACTGCTGTGGATGGGGACTTATTACAGTAAAAAGTACCTTTTTTATTTTATATTTACCCAATAAATGCATCGATAATATTCACTGATTTTTATAAGGTTGATCCAATGAACTTAATCGATTAAAAAAAATGTAACAAATATTTTTTTGGGCCCGAACTACAAAACCAAATGTAAAAATTTTTTTGTATCAGTATGAAAGGCAAACACCTGCGTGCTGCTTTTGCTCTATCAATGCACCGTGCATGCCTCAGCTTTCCTTTTACGTGCATGAGAAAGACCCCCAGGTTCTCAACATCCATCGCGGTTTGGATAATTTCACGTGCGTGCTGCTGTTATTTCCACATGATCTTTATATTGCAGATCGAGTACAGTCGCAACGAAGTACAGAGGATCAGACAGAACGAATAGACACAAAGCACAAATGCTGCTTCAGACAACACGTACAGGTCGCTGTTTCTGTTTGCGTCAACCCAACATACTGTTTCGACCCTGTTGTTTCAGTGATAGAAATCTTTCGGATGAAAACCAAAAATGCACTTTTGGGCCAGTTTTGGGAAAAAATTTTCTGTGACCGAATGTCCCTAATAAATGTCTTCCATTTTTCAGATAAACACAACACTTAATGGTGCTAATAAAAATAAAATAAAAACATATTCTGGGACTTCTCTCCTTTGTAGCAGTAAATGACACCTTTGATTTTTTGAAAACTCATATTTGTTTAAAATCATTATTGTGTGTGACAATTTCATTCTAGGCTGAGAAATTGTGCATTATAAGCCTGATTTCATGAAGAAAACCCCCCCCCCCAAACCCACTCGTCATTGTGAGATGATTCGCAAAAGTTACGAATTGCGGTGAGATTGTGTTGGCATTGTTGTGTTGGCATCTAGCGCTTTGAGTCTAAAAAAAGCGCATTACAAATAAAATGTGTTATTACGATTATTTAAGCAAAATGTTTTTCTGCTTGAATTACTTTATTGGTGAATTAATTACTGTAAATATAATTTTTGCATCATGTGCCACGTTGTTGTGTACACTTTTGTGCTCCCATGCACGTGCAGGTCTGAATAGGAGGTGTGTTAAGGTGCATTGTTGGCATGGATGTTTTGAGTCTACAGAAACATTTTTTTGTTGTCGTTTAGAGCCTATTAGTGATAGGTAGGCTAGAAAACCTATGTACATGTTACCTATTACACACACAGTGATGCACAGAAGCACATAAATATTTTTAATTATGAAAAATTAAAGGATTAAAAAGAAAAAATTATTGTTATAGTCTACATAAAAAATAAAAAAACTGCTACCTCTTCTACTGTATATATAAAAAGTACTTTACAAACATTAAAAGGAGGACTGTCTAATAAAACTGAACTTGAAGAATAGAACAAAACAGAACAGAACAGAACGGAACAGAACGAAACAGAATGGAATAGAACGTAACAGAACTGAGCAGGTCTACATTAAGGTTTTGTTGCTGATAGCACCTTTAAGTGTTTAAGGACAAAAGTGATAAACTAGGGCACTTGACATGATGCATAATAAGTCCTGTTTTTTTTCTAAAGCAGCTGTGGCTCTATTTGTGGATCTCTATATCCCTTGAAGGCAGGAGAAGGGATGAAGAAATAGCTCCACAATGCTCATAATGATGAATGATGAACATTTCCCTCCAGCATTTAACCCCCATAACATAAGGCTAACGGCACTTCATTTATGTCTGACTATTTGGGGCTACACAATACAGTGAAAAATATACAATATATGCTACTGTTCTTGAGTATTCCTCGCAAAATAACAAAATTTTCCTAGAGAGATGATGTTTTACATTAGCTATTTGTAGAAAGCTATACATGTAATGATTATACAAAATAATAAACAGACAATAGATTTTATTCAGATCTAATTAAATCTAATTGAGTCTAAAAAAGCTGTTAAAATACAAACATTTAGATTTTAAAACACTATGAATGACTGAAAACCTCAGCAGTCATTCTGATTCTTTTTGGCTGTTAGTATTTAATAGTATTAGTATTTATTTTCAGCTCTTGGCTCTGAAGCTCTAGGTTCACTTTGGGCCACTCTAGCCAGTAGCATAACAGCACCTAATTGTGATGCGGTTCTAAAGAAAGAAAGCCCTCACCTGATTGGTCAAATTTGAATAAAAATATTGCATGTTTATGGATAAGTTTAAAAAGCTTTAACATCAAGTGTTGTGTTCATATTTATGATTAAGTGTATTTATGTAGCACTGTGGTCCTGCGAGGCTTGATATTTCATTCCACTGTATGTCCACACATATAGCGGAATGACAATAAAGCTCAACTTGACTTAATAATAATAATAATAATTAATAATTCCTTACATTTATATAGCACTTTTCTGGGCACTCAAAGCGATTTACAAATAGGGGGGGATCCTCATCCACCACCAGTTCGCAGCATCCTCCTGGATGACGCAAAGGCAGCCATTTTGCGCCAGATCGCACACCACCTGACTGGAGGAGAGGAGACAGAGTGATGAAGCCAATTATGATATGGGGATGGTTAGGAGGCCATGATGGACAGAGGCCAGTGGACAGAATTGGCCAGGGTGCCAGGGTTAAACCCCTACTCTTTTTTAAGGACATCCTGGGATTTTTAACGGCCACAGAGAGTCAGGACCTCGGTTTAACGTCTCATCCGAAAGACAGCGCTCACTGAAAAGTACAGAGTCCCCGTCACTATACTGGGGCATTAGGACCCACACAGCCCGCTGGTTGGGCGCTCCCTGACTTGCCTAGCATATACTATAATTGTGATAATGGTAATTCTTTGAAATATCTTGTAGCCCTATTGACTCCACCAAACTTCACATTTAATCATTTACACACTCCACAAAAGTCCTGCATGAGAAGAAATCTCCATCTCCCTCCAAAGACTCATACTCCATCCATTCACTTCACATACACTGCCAAACAAGCTCCGATCTGCAGGTGGATGAGCTACTTTTCACAAAATATCAGTTCACATGGCAGAAATAGCCCATTTCACTGCTGGGTTGTTTTGATGAGGGGATTGGAAATAAAAACCAGATCTGCTCTTGACAATTGAGGTTGGATTTACGAGCAGATGTGTGTTTGTGGGCTAGCTATATTACACAGCAAGGAACGGACTCGCTTTTTGACTCTTTGCCTTTTACTTTTAACTTTGTTCCTCGCTCAGTCACTTTAACGACATAAAAAAAAATCTCACCAAGTACAAGCACAGCACCCTTAAAGGGACAGTGCACCTATAATGAAAATTCCTTCATTTACGCACTCGTAATTTTAAGATGTTATGAGTGCAAAACAACATTTGACGTCCATAGCTTTCATTGTAAAAGCACAACATAAACATGAAAATTAATTGAGTTAATTATTTATT